GACACATGCCCATACATCCGGATACGGGTGTAACCTGAGGCAACAAAGATGGAGAGGAAAAAAAGACACACGAAGTCCACAACAAGAGCCAACCTACACATTGTAGTATCAAATGGGTAGAAGACCTCGAATTTTCAAGGTTACCTATCCTATTCTGCTCAAATCCACTTTTTGCGGATTTTGCCCATTATTTTCCTATTTTTGTTATATACCTTTCTCCGCGTGATAATTTACTCTTTGTAGATCCTTTGGGCTTGAAGTACCACAGCAAGTGGCTATAACCGGCCGCGTGGTTGTGGTTATTTGTCGCCTTGAAAATTCTAGGTCTTCTAGCCATTTGATACTACAATGTGTAGGTTGGCTCTTGTTGTGGACTTCGTGTGTCTTCTTTTTTCCTCTCCATCTTTGTTTCCTCAGGTTACACCCGTATCCGGATGTATGGGCATGTGTTTCTACTTTTGTAGTTGCATATGTGCATTCAGTTCGGGCCTGATGAAGCCAACCAGCAGAAATACGTATCGCTCGGGTTACCTATCCTATTCTGCTCAAATCCACTTTTTGCGGATTTTGCCCATTATTTTCCTATTTTTGTTATATACCTTTCTCCGCATGATAATTTACTCTTTGTAGATCCTTTGGGATTGAAGTACCACAGCAAGTGGCTATAACCGGCCGCGTGGTTGTGGTTATTTGTCGCCTTATACAGGGTTATCCAAATTAAGTGTCCACCATTAGTAACTTTGTTATTAGTGAAAATACAAAGTTGTTTGAATTAGCAAACTAGTAGCATTTTTAACGCTGGTAAAAATGAGAAATAAAAAAAAACAATTGAGAGTCGTTATTTTGATTTTTTTCAGTAAAATAACATTTTTTAAATGGAAACCCCTGTATATTATATTTTTTTCTGTTAAAGCATCAAATTTTAAACAAAAAAGTTCATAATGACTTTTCCGCTAAAGTCAAAAATAAAGTCAAAATAGCGATAAATATTTTTAATTATTTGCAGTATTATAATATTAAGACGGCTATGAAAACAACATGGCGTTCGCGATTTGACAGCATTAAGATAAGCGACAAATTGTTAAACTGGACATACTCGCAACTAGAAGGCTTTGGAAAACAATGATAAAATCAAATAATGTCAAACATTAGTGTAAATACTTGTTTATAAGCTTTATTGTGTCATTAATTTAAAGAAAAATGTTCTCCCATGAAGAAAAGTGTGATATGTTAGAATGCTATTTAGTGTGCAGAAAATCCTCCTTGAGAGCAAGAGAATACTACAGTGAATTATATCCCGCTCGCATTCAACCGTATGAACGATATTTTCTGAGACTTTATCGAAAATTTAGGGGCAACGAAAATGTTTTTGCTAAAACAAGGGCAAAAAAAGAATTCATAATAAGCGAGGCCACGGAAATTGCAGTTATTGGATATTTTGAAGCTTATCGTGAGAATTCAATAGCAGATATTCTCAAGGACTCTAATTTCAGTTATGGTACTGTTCAAAGGATTTTAAAAAAATACAAATTTATTCCGTATAAGTACCGACCAGTTCAAACGCTTTTGGCAGGGGATCCAGAGAGAAGACTTGTTTTTTGCCATTGGTATCTTAGCTTCTGTCGCCAAAATGTAAATAACTTTCGTTACCTTTTATGGACAGATGAATCAAATTTTTCCAATTCTGGAATGTTTAATAGAAAAAACCACCATTATTGGTCAAGAGAAAATCTTTTGTTAGTACATCCAAGAGGCCCACAAGTCCGTTTCAGTTTCAACGTTTGGTGCGGTATAATTGGTTCAAAAATTGTTGGCCCGTTCTTTTATGAGGGAACCCTAACTGGTGAAAGATATGTGGAATTTATGTCAGAAATTCTGACTAATTTCTTAGACGAATTGGATCTTATAAGTAGACATCATCTGCATTTTCAGCAAGATGGCGCACCTGCCCACAACTCCAGAGGTACTTATCATTTTCTAAGTACTACTTTTAATGATCAGTGGATAGGAACAAATGGCCCAATACAGTGGCCTCCCAGATCACCAGATCTAAACCCACTTGATTACTTGTTGTGGGGTTACTTAAAGAACCAAATTTACAAGCGAAGGTACGATAACCTTGACGCGTTAAAGACTGCAGTTAGGGAAAAGATAACCCAGATAGATGGTAGGACCATACTTAAGACAGTTCGAGCAGTTGAAAAACGTGCCCAAAAATGTATTGAAGAACAAGGTGGTGTTTTCGAGCATCTTCTTTAAAAAAAATTGTTATTGTATTTTGTAAGATTATAAGTTGATGTTGAAAATAAAGTTTGTCGATACAATTTAATTGTTTCAGATTGGAGGCCATAACTTCAACAATTTGTAACCTAGGAGAAAAGTTATTGTAAGCTTTTTTGTTTAAAATTTGATGCTTTAACAGAAAAAAATATAATATACAGGGGTTTCCATTTAAAAAAATGTTATTTTACTGAAAAAAATCAAAATAACGACTCTCAATTGTTTTTTTTTATTTCTCATTTTTACCAGCGTTAAAAATGCTACTAGTTTGCTAATTCAAACAACTTTGTATTTTCACTAATAACAAAGTTACTAATGGTGGACACTTAATTTGGATAACCCTGTATATATATATATATATATATATATATATATATATATATATTATACTACTTGAATTATAAAAGGTCGTCACTGGATTAGGTAATAAAACCCAGCTTCCGTAACCGTTCACCAAAAGCCATGTCCAGATTACCGTCCCTGGCATGTATTTGACTTTCACTCATTTGAATTCCAGGATTTATTGTCCCATAGTCGCTTCCTGATTCTACTCAAAATGTAGAAGATTGACAATGGCAGTTTCAAAATAGAGCGTACCTGCAAGATTTTTTGTGTGTTGTGCAGAAACTATTTAGGAACTACTTAAAGGTATTTTCAAGGACATAATAACCGACAGTTTTTCCTGATGATAAACAGTTGATATATTATACTATTTTTGACACCGGAAAAGAAAATGGCGATAACTCGAAAACCTTGCACAATCTCATTTAATTCACACCATTGCGTTGCCCGGACAATGATGTTAACAGTTCGTTTGAATTATTTTCTTAACCATAGCTCTTAACAATATTGCCCAACTTGACCGGGCATTCATGTCAATGTCCTACCATTAACGTAACGTGATTGACTACAGACGGTTGCCTAGTCTCAGCGTGACCGAACTGCGTTTAAATTGAGTTCGCGAATAGATTCTAGTTTCTTCGTTATACGAAACATACCAATGTTATTCAAGAAGAAAATCTCAGTATGGGTGAAAGGTATATCCAGGAGCAGAATCCATAGTTATATTTGTATAGAAGGCAGAATATTAAACGTACATGTCACCTTTCACAACCCAAGTGAAGTCACCGTTCTGTTTATATTTTATTTATTTATACGGTATCCCAAGTACGATGGACACTTGAATTTTGACTTAATTTCATAATGATCTACGCTTGATGTATCTTTAGCTTTATTATTCACACACAGATGTAACTACCAGTTTTGTATCGCCATTTTAGTTTTATTCTCCTTCACCATTGATGTACGCTTTCAACGTGTTAATGTACTCATATAATATGTTAGTTCTTATTGCAGTTTAGTTCAGTGTGCCTTTTTAATGTACGACTTGTGTCCTAATATGTTTAGTTTTTTAATTCATCTTATTTATTATTGAATTTGGTTAAAATGCCACGGTATCAGTTCAAAGTTTTGTCGTTTCTGCCAGTGAATCTGTAACACCAAAGTATGTCTGTGTGTGAGTGCAGAAGCACAAATGACAAAAATGGGATGGTCACACACAAGATTTTTCTTTCGTAGCATTAACTTTATTTGTCACTGATACCCCTTTGTGGTAACAATCTTTGTTCCACGTTTATCGCTGGTGCCGAAAACCATACTGCATGTCCCGATGTATGCACCTCTCCATCACGTTACTGATAACAGAAAGATGAGCTATAAGTCTGTAGTTGGAAGGGTCAGTCTAAGATCCTTTTTTGGGATAGGGTGGATAAGAGAAAATTTCCAAATTACTGGGAAGGAACCAGATTCGTAAGATATCTGAAAGAGACACGAAAGAACCAGAAAAGATCATCTGCACAATTCTTCAATATAGTATCAGGAATCAGGTGATTCCAGTACCTTTGTAGATGTCGAGCAACAAGAGTTACTTCCCACATAGTGTAGGGAACCCTTGGAACCGACGACACTCGGGCGTTGGTGAGTACGTCCATGGTGGAGTTGTCAGCAAGGATCTTCTCAATTACTTGCTCCTTAGATTACTCTTGGTGAAGCCCGCTTCAATCTGCTTGGGGAGCATCAAGAAGGACCGACTACCATTGGACTAAGACATTACCATGTGCCTAGTTTTTGCATCGTGCTGGTCTTTGGCATTGAGAACCGCTTCGTTATATGTGTTCTGAGAATCGACATCGGCTTGTCAATTCTCTACAGTAGGCCTCTGTAGGAAGTTTCTGCGTGTCTTGATCTTCTGTCAACGAGTAGTGTCGCACGATTTGTTGCCGTTAAACCTGGTTTAGGCACTTTCATCACTTGGGGGATGTATTTCTCCATCTCAGCATGGACAATAGATATTGTGAGAATGTATTGACAAAGAGACAGGCGACGCATCCGAGTCAGTGAAACAAACAGCTCTATAAAGAAAGAGAGAAAGTCCGTAATGCTAAATTTACAATGGATTCTACCAGAGCTTAAAGTTTCTTCTATGCATTCATGTCAAATTTTCTCGGAAATCATGATTCAATTTAATCCAGCCAATATTTACTTATCTGTTTTTCATAGAACGCAGAGTCGTGTGCGAAACATACACTTCAAATACTTTCAACAGTAAAGGAAACGCTTTTTCGCGATTATGTATAAATATGCTTCCACCATACCTGACCCAAAAATCGTTTTCTTGGTAACTCGGAGATAACAATGCACCACTAATTACCATTGTTACTTGACACTATTTGTTTAAAATTTCGGTAAAATTATGTCACAATTACGTGAAAAAAAAACCACATTCGAACACAAGTTGATCGCATTTCGGTCAGGCCGAGAATAGCCAATCCTATTGTAATCAATTTTATACCCTATAATTTGCGTTTCTGATAAGCTGCAATCTGTAACCTCTTTGCCTAAATATAGCATTGACTAAACCTTCTGAAAAAGGCATTTCAAAGCCTGTAGCTTCATCATGTAGGTCACCCACTAAGTCAAGTTCATCGCTCTCGAAGCGCGGCATATCTTATCACCATATGCTTGCCAGACAGCATAGATGGCTTATCGCTAGTGCATTCAGTAGTATATTTGACTTCAGTATGAGTACATCTGTTATGAAGACGGAACCGATCTTGTTAGTCCACGGTGGTGCTGGGGACATTCCCGATGAGAGGGTTCCAACAAAGATGGCGGGAATGAGGAAGTCTGTCTTAGTAGGATTCCAAGTGCTGAAGGCCGGTGGCAGTGCGATAGATGCGGTAGAGGCAGCTATTAAGGTCATGGAGGATGACGAGGCATTTAATGCAGGTCAGTGTTGTTTTATACTTTAGCAAGTAAGGTGGGAGACAAAAGGTGCGTACCGTGGCGCTATATGGATATACAGTGAAGGAGGTATCACAAGTGAGCTCTGGGATAAAAGACTTGTATGTCAGATACATAAATTCCTGCATTTTCTACAAATATTTTGGGTGGTACGAACCCTTTCAGTGAAGACTGTCTACCACCTACTACAGCAGCTACTGTAGCTAGTAAAAATGTTTCTATTAAAGAATTCGAAGCTGAGCAGCTCTTAGCGATGCACGCCTTAAACCACAGAGTCACCGATTAAATTTATTTTTGCATATTATCCAATAAATATAAGGCGAATGTCACACTATCGGTATATGACATTTATTGACCGTTTAGCCAGGACGACAGTAATTATTGATGTATAACCTACTCATAAGCTTGCGTACAAATCCACTGACACTGACGGCCTCAATCATCACACCTGGGCGAGCCAATAGTGATGGTCAAGTTTAATCGTACATACGTTTCGTAACCGTACAATACTGAAGTATTACACGTTAACAGCAGCCACCGTTCGTTACATGTGGCGCTTGCCAGTGATGAATCAATAAGCGAACTCAGGTAACTCAAAGCGATTTTATGTTGTATTACAGTAGCTTTGGAATAATTTTGGGTTTGCAGCATTTTACCAACAAACTATCAAACTTGATAATCAAAAAAGTGCTGTCCAGTGGCAAAGCTTTTTTACCCCCACTGCAATACAGCAGTAGTTCTAGACCGCTTCAAGCTGCACGCTCTTTGACAGGAAGTGATTTGTCTCGCGCGAAAATGTCAATTGACAGAGACTCACAGTAAAATCATGATCATTGTCCAGTGACGTTATTGCGCACTTAAGTCTCGTCCCTTCCATTCAGTGGGTGCCCCTTTACTCCGCTCTCACTGGGGCGAAAAGGCCACATCGTAATATCAGTTTGTGTGGCGACTAGACCCGACCGACGCTAAAATTTTGGCTTCCATTTATTTTAATATGTCGCTACGGATGCTGGTTACGTCGCAATGGTATCCGGCAGGATTATTGAGTAAAAAATCTATATAATGTACAAGAAACAGACAAAATGTCAACTTGCTGACTAGATAGCTCCTGATGTGCTAATAGCTCATTCCGGTCTTGCTCGCTGTGAGCGACACGCGTAGCGCCACCTTCGGAGGAATGACCCAACGACATGCTTAATGGCCTGCTGTAAGTCAGGTTGCCAGCGTGATATACTGGTTGCAGGATGCCGATATAGTATGCAGAGTATATCTCGGAAAAGAGGGGACCGAAAGAAAGATGGTTGAGTAGCGTAGTAGCAAGAACGCATCTAGATGACTGTGTGGTGATTGTGTGTATTCGTCTGCATGTGTATAAAATGAGCCACATTTGCTATGTGAGAATACTGAATAAGTAATTCTATTAGCTGTGCTAGACGGTATGTGTTGTCCTTTCTGAAGAGAGCTTATGATCAAATTTACATCTAAGTGGTAAGTGTATTTGAGATAAGAAACCAAAGGAATTATCATCAACACAGATTATTAGCACACAAGTCGTCGCTATGCACCTATGCACTGCGGTTTCGCCCGTTTTCTTCCAGCTATAGCATACAACTTACAGCTTAGACGTCCAGTAACGCGGTCTCTGGAGCAGATGTTTCATCACATCCAGAGCCAAGCCATAATAGTTCAAGTGCCATGATGTTTAGGCAGCAAGTACAGATACACAACGAGTGCACATCAAGTGAACAATAGCTAGTTCCAAGTTGACATATTATAGAAAAATCCACATAATGTAAAAAACCGACATGACGTAGCCCTTGGATAAGAGTTTTCGGTGACGGTTCCCTCATTACAGACATGCTGGAAGCCTCTGTCTCTACATCTTGTAGTCATTACACGTAACCCAGACTGGGAGAGGTGGCTTAGATATTTTAATCTGCCATGCAGTTAAGTTGACTAGATTCAAATTTTTCTGATAGAACATCCTACCGCCACAGTGTGCGTGATAAATAAAATGGACCGTTACAAAATGTGAAACTGTAGGATGTATGCGACATACTTATGTAGCCATTTTATTTACTGGTTTATTGGTAGGCTGCTTGATCTCTTTGACTGACCCGGACATTGCACTAAATTATCGCCAATTCTTTGAACTATCGGAAGACGTTCAGCCTAGATCAAAACATTGCATGAGAACATGCACTGGAACGCTGTTGGTGCTAAGCAGTACTGGGTTACTCCGAGTTACTTAGAGTAACTCAACAGGGTCACTGGAAACCTGCTCTGATATTCCCAATATATTGAAATAGGGTTGCCTAGCGGCAGCCTGGCCTACATTTGCTTCTGTTTGTACCAGAATTGCTATATTTCTACGCTCCTCAGATATCAAAAATATACTCCAATTATGTATGAATCAAAATTTATCATAAGTACACCTCAAAATTAATCTATGCATCAAACAACAATGCCTCGCTTTTCCTTTTAACATTACACTTTTCGTTGCTGTCCGGTTTTTTCCTTTTTTTGTCTGATTACAGTGCAATCAGAAGTAGCAGATTTGGTTGACTAATGTACAATAGACGGTGAACAACAAAAGGAAGCCTAATTGTACAGACACATTGAAAAGAAGGAAAGAGATTTGTGTCGCTCCAAAATGTCAATCAACAATTTTCAATAATAAAGTCAGAAAGAGACAACCGTGTGGTATTCAAATTCAGACTTCAAAATGAGCATTATGAACTTTTGGAGCTAATTTCCTTGGAGCAATGATAAAATTGCATTGTTTTATTCCCAATATGTGTATGTTCAATGACACTGTCAACTGACAACATAAACTTTCTTGGCAGTAATTAGTTGATAGGAAAGATTAAGGACAGACATTTGTCTCGGTCGTGCGTCGACGCCTTGTCCGCTGTCTCTTGACGCTATCGCGGCGCGGAACAGTACCTTTTATCTGTCTGAACATATATGTTCATAATAACGTGGCTAACTTGATGCTGACAACAATATTGTCAACATTTTGGTCACTTTATGAACACAACATAACTTCATATTCTGCTCCTCTTCATAATGAAGGTCGGCAGTCTTTACTGTCAGGATCAAATTCCATTTACCGCACTCGACAATTTGCGTCTATAAATATTTATGACGTCTACTCAAGCTATGTTTCAGACTGACGCAACCACTTATTTATTCTGGCTTTGCGCGTATTTTCACAGGAAATGCACATTTTAATGTTTTAATAGATCATTTACAGTTAAACGAAATGCATAGATATTTTGTTTTCGACTGACAGATAACTGACAAGCAATGTTGGATTTTGTTGATATTTGGCGATTCTCTGTGAGAGGCTCCTGTTTATTTTGTATGCAGCAAACGGAGAGGGCAATGAAAATTTTAAACTGCATTATTTTGGATGGACATTGGGGGCACACTTGCTTTGTGAAAGATGCGTCAAATATTAAATACGGCTTTTATCACGTGACATTTCATTCCAGTTAAAGTCACCTCAGATCGGCAATCACTGCCAATTTCCTGATGTTGTGTCACTGTATTTATATAGAACTATCTACTATTCAGGAGCTTATAGATAAAAGATGTACTCAAAACAAAGGCTAAATTTGCCAAAAATTGTTGGTTACAGAAGTTGTATCTTTTCAAAAGGACCTTTCTGATATTTTTCCATGCCATTAGTTAACGGCATTTGGCGAATATATAGCCTAAAAGTGTAGAACACGTTATGAAGAAATAAAGTGTGCGTTTTTTTGTGTATAAGTGGCTTAACCAGAATTAACTCCAGGCTGTAATAAGCGGTCATAAGATTTTTTGTCACTAAAGTTAGCAACTACTCAATTTATTCAAGTGACATTATTGAACTCAATGAATAATTATGCAGTTCCGACATTACGTTTACTAAAGGCCGTATCGTCAGTCGCTCCCACAATTGTAGGTCGCCTTTATGGCCTCCTTGATGTTCATAGTTTTATACTTTTCTGTGTCGGCACTCTATTTTGGGGTTATGTCACAAATACCTATTTGCATCAAATTGTTCATGCTTTTGATTTATATCATGTTTTATCAGCCTGAAATGTTCTACAATTCAAAAAAAACATAACTTCACAATCGGAGAGCGCTGACGCTGACACGGAACAGGTGCGATCTAGAAATTTTTGAAGGAGAGGAAAGACTATGACAATCAAGGAGGCCATAGAAGCGTCCTACAATAATTGTAGGAACGACTGACGATACGGCCCTAAGTCAAGAATCCATTGTGAAATAGCTTGACATAACTATCGCTAACATGTTTGCTAAACGATAATTTGTTTAGCAAAAATGTTTTATGTTGAGCATATATGAGACAACAAACATATTATACTGCTGACTCCTGAATTTGTTCATCTCACGAAACGTTGATGTGCGATTGCAGTAGCGTAATCGAACAGGAATGTGAATAATTTGTAACGTACAATTTTTGCATTTCCGTATGGTTGGAGAGGTGGTCCTGATTTTAGCGTAGGCAATGTTTTAGTGTGGAGCATAACGTATGGTGGTAATAGCAGATCCAACGAGTTCAGACTAACCAGAAGGCGCCAGTCCAGGATTTCTTTGTCTCCTAATTCTGTAGTGACTGTCACTAAATGGGTATTTTCAATGTCATTTTTAATTGCGAGTTCTTGCAGATAATTGAGGTGTTATACTATTTCATGATATTTCGTACATAATTTGCAAAGACTGACACAAGCCTAATGAAGGTAGTTGTTTCAGCAAAAACGTCAGTAAACTGAACTGCGCGAATAAGTGCATTATCAGAGAAGCTGGCTGTGATAAAAATTAGGCTAGCAGGTCTTAGTTGTTACCATACTGGAGTAAAGAATATTCATGAAATGGATATAGAAAGTATATCTTTTCAGGTTACGGATCTGTCCTGAATACTGATGGTGAAGTTGAAATGGATGCTTGTGTGATGTTAGGTAACTTGTCAGCTGGAGCGGTATCGATTGTCAGAGATATACAGCATCCTATAAGGTAATCTATGTGTGATAAAGTGATTGAAATATTTTTTTAGTGAAACACCATGTAGTAAGATGCCACCACCGTGCTTTTGCATTTTTATGAGAAACATACTGGTTACTAAGAAAATACTTTTCGGTCTTCAAAGTTTTTATTTTTGGTGCATTTTAACAACCGAAACCAACAAGTAAACTCTCTGAAAACACTATTTCTGAATCTACGCTGTTTTCAATATCCGGCGCGAGTGTATCATGATATTGTTTTACCATCAACTAATCTTAGTGATGTTTACTTTTGCATATCTTTTGCTTAGTTTGCACTAGCTGCTCCTAGGGTCTTTAAACATTCCTTCAAGAATAATTCAACGCTTGTCCGACATCATTTCAGCTTACCAGTTTAGCTTTCAGCAAATCAATTATCTGGAGACAATAGCGACTGTAAGAGATGCATTTTTCTTAATTCCTCAAAAAGAGTGCTCAGATAATGCTAGAACTAATTACCTATTTGCTTAGGCTGCAAACACTCCTCTTTGATTATGTGCACCTTATCTGTAGACGTAGTGAAATTGAACTACAGAACTGCTGAAGAGACGGAGTCAACATCTTAGAAGTCGACTATACTAGCCAAATATAACTACTTGACATTCCTATCTTGTGTTATTAGTGTGGAAGGGTGGAGCGATCTGATGTATATACTAATGCTTAGTATATAAAACCTTGATATTACACTACATTCGTCTGAGGTACCAGCAACATACTCTCCCATAGTTTTCAGGCATAGTTTCACCTTTTTTGATATACATAGTCAGTTATAATCGCGTTGTGTTGACTGAAACCCGTCTCAGAGACAGAATGTTATCTTTAATGAAGCATAGATTTAGATCGGGTTTTGTGCGTTTCGCGATGCTCAATGTGTATGTATGAATAATAAATTCGTGACAACTTCTATTACTCATAAGCAAAAACGTTGGACAATGTGGTTTAACTGCAGCTTTATATTCAATCTACAGTCGGTGCTGTGGTTAAAGCTAACTGCCGTTTTAGGGCAAACCTGAGAACCCTAAACAACTCTAAACACTCATGTTCTGTGCATTTCATGATTCTCGATATTTGTATCATCTCATCTATCACAACCCTTTTTACTGTCAGGCAAAATACGTTGGTTGTGGTCTAAGCGCAAGCTTCTAGTCAGACCATAGATGGTACTCTGGTTGTAGTTAAATACTGTTTTACGACAAACTCTTCTGGTTAACACGGTTGACTGATATTAAAAAATCTGTCCGACATTCATAATAGAACAACAAACATTTCACATTGGGATGGTTATTGTCAGCATTTCCTTAAAAATTGTCATACTCCCAAGTATCTATCATTGATCCAAGCAAACTCCTTGAGTTATTATCGGGTAAAAGACTTATTGACGAGTCTTTCATTTTTCGATATACATACCTATGTATTGAAGGTGAATAAACAATTTTGATCGATCGACTAAATACCTCTCCGATTTCCCGTGGGCGATTGAAAAAATTTGCTGAGCCCTTCAGAGAAACTCTTTGATCTGCTGATTAAATATTGAAGGGATGGGATCTGAAGTTACGAAACGATTTTAATTAACCTTCTACTATGCTCTGATGTATTTTACATTTTATCAGTTTGTGCAAGAATTCCTCTCACAGCGTGAATCCCTTTCTAGACTTCCACTTTATTGCTAATAGGCTTTTAGTGCTTTGCCGCTCTCAGGTGTATTCCAGTCAAAATCTAATCTAAGGAGAATCCGGGGCATATCGTTAAGATGTTATTTTACGCTTTATGCATGTTTAAGTTTACTTTTCACATTTTACGCTGTGATCCATGGACTCAACACACGGTAATACTCAATATTACTCATTTTGGGACATCGGCTTTTTGATAAACGCTTGTCGGCAACAATACCTTTGGGAAATTTTGATTCATTTTATAACAATCTACTCGTAGAACTCATTTAACCGTAAATTCCAATATATCGCTTGCAGGAGATTTTAACATCAACTATAATGACAACAGTTGTGAGGTCTTGGTAATTAAACAACTTTTTTGTCTTTTAATTTGAATCAGCACGTTCACGATGACGCATACGTATATCAATCTTCATCATCCAAAATTAACTACATATATGTACAAATTATTATGCTACGTCCTGGACTGTTTTATCTGCTGGATATATTAATAAAGGTGTTTACCCAGAATTTTTGAAAATATTAACAGTTATTCCCATTCATAAAGGATGACCAACCGGTATACCAGAAAATTACATACGCATAAGTTTAATCGCTGTTATAGCAAAACATAATATAAAAATAGTTCAAATTAGATTAAGAGACTTTCCAAAAAAAAAATAATATGAGACAACCAATTTAGCTTGCAAAACCAAAAATGCCATGTATGCTATGTTGACATTTATACTCAAATTTAAACGATAAACAGATTTCAATTATTTTTTGTCACTTTTCCAAAGTTTTTGATCATGTTAATAATGATATATACTAAGTGACATAAAATGCAACAGCCAGAATTATTTATTGAACTTTGATAAAAACATGTAATCAAATTTGCTATCAAGTATTACGCTGATAAAATGTCGAAAGCATTCCGAGCCGTACTTTTTTTGTAAAGGTTTTTTTTGTCACATCAGGATCCGAAAAATATGAACATGTTTACTTAATATTCAGTATTGGTTTCATTTGTTTCATTGTTGTTTCATTGCATTATCATGCCTAGAGTTCGCAGACGCGCTAATTTCACTTTCCGAGTTTAAGAGGGGTCGGATAATAGGGTTACGTGAAGCCGGATTTTCTTTTAGAGAAATCGCTAATTGGGTGAATCGAAACAGAACTATAGGGATGAGATGCTGTCGAGCGTGGTTCCAAGAGGGCCGAAATAGACGAGTTAGAGGTACTGGGCGTCAAAGATAGACTACAGAACGACATGATAATAATAATAATTATTCTTTATTGCCCATCAGAAGCATCCATTTATAGGACAATATAAGTGAAAAAGAACAAATGATCGTTGTTTGAGGCAACTAGCACTTAGAGATCGATTGTCCACAACAAGGCAATAACAGTGAGGACAGTTTATCGCCGAATGAGGTCTTTTGGACTGTTTTCATACCATCCCCATTCTGTACTACCTTTGATCCCACAGCATCGTCGGCCACGATTGATATGGAGTAGGGAGAGACTTGAAGATAATATGGAATGGAACTCAGTCGTGTTCCGCGATGAGTCCAGATTCTGTTTGGGCACACATGATGTGCAGGAGTCAGGAGGAGATGTAGTGAAAGACAAAACGTCCAATATTCCATCGAACGTCATATTCATCGCACTGTGGGTGTTTTGGCAGCAGGTCACGATTAGTGTTCATTCGAGGTAGCATGACTGCCCACCGCTGTATCTACGAAGTTTTACAACCCACATCTGCTTCCATTTTTGGAAAGTTTGCCAGATCCAACTGTTAGGTTAGACTTTTTAGAAGCATCTGGAGTAAATCTGCTTCAGTGGCCACTTGGATCTCCAGACCTTTCCCCCATCGAACATGTATGGGACATCATGCTAATAAGGTTGCAAAATTGATCGCACCCTCCTACAAAACCAAAATCAGATGGCCTGAGATACAATACACCAAGAAGACATCAATCATCTAACCCGCGACGACTTAACGAATGTGTAGCAAACAGGAGCTTCAACACATTAAAATTAAATTTCGAGTTAAAATTTTAATCTTTTTCTATTTATCAGTAGACCTAAAACTTGTAAAGGTATGCTCAAAATTACAACACTCCTAGTCGGTGTTGCATTTTCTATGTCATTTAGTATACTATCGAAAAATTAAACAGACATGGTTTTACTGGAACTTCACTCAATCAGTTTAACACATAAATAATCGATCCCAAATTTAAGAGCTTCAAGATATTATACTTCAAATAAATTAGATATGAAAGCAGAGGTAGTTCATGTATCAATACTAGGTCCGATCATATTTTTAGTTTATATTCACGATTTAATAAATTTAAACATAATCGGTAAATTCACAGTTTTTGCTGACGATACCACAATACTTTGGCAAGACACAGATGTAGATAAAATTAGATCACAAATTGACAGTGACATACAGTGAATCGAAAACTGGTGTGATAATAATTTCTTGACTTTCGTTGTTACTTAGACCAAATTTATGATAATTAAGTGCTACCTTGATTTTATAAAGTTAAATAATGATACACAAAACAGACACCCTCAAATCTTTAAGACTCAGCATAGATTATAATTTAAACATATAATGTAGACCAATAGCTTACTCAACTAGCAAAGATTTCCTTTATGCTAAGATCAATTAGTTACAGCGTGGGCGAAAGCATAGCCTTAAGTAGTTACTTTGCTTATTTGAGAGTAGATTGGTATACAGCATTCCTTTAAACGGTTAGTATCAAAACACGTTTTTCAATAATCGCTAGGACAACATGTCATCGTTCAAATGACATCAAATGTATCATCCTGTGACAATTACGTACTCAGTTATTACAATTTTCAGACATGCACTACCGTAATCGTAACGTAAAGATAAAAATGGCTGCCATTTGAACGAGGGTGAGGTAGGACATTGTAGGGGGGTGGATTTGTCGATAAAAATAGCTGAAAAATACCTCTCTTAAATATCGGTATGTCGTGACCAAGCACATTGTACAACTAAAAGCAGTCCTAGATTCACATGCATTTTAGGTGTTGAAATAATGACTGTTGAATCATGGTTTATCTTAGAAACAGCACCGATAGCATTAAATATTTATTAAATATTTTTAAAAAATGTTTGTTAAATATTTGTAGCGACAGATTTTTTAATATTTAATAAATATATTTCTTATATATTTATAAAATATTCATTATAGATGTTTGTAGTATATATAATTCATATATTTTAGCGATATTTTTCTCCAAATATTTAGAAAATATATGAAGAAAGATTTTTAAATATCAATTTTATATTTTGATGAAATATCTGATATTTTTCGTAAATATGTGTAGATTTTCAAGCATTAATCTGATACATATTTTCAGTGTAGATAGAATTCTGAATTGGTTATTTTAGCAAGACCTGTAGGAATGCTTATATAAAATCGGGTTTATAAAGAAAATTCATTCTAGATATAATGGTTTAATTTGCTAAAAAAATATTATCAAAAAACACATTCTAAGCCTCTTCTGCATCTTGCAAGTCTACTCCTCTAAAAAAAAAAACTTAACTGGGTCACTGAAAAGCAGCTTTATAAGGCACCTAAAATGACCCCACATGTTATGCCTTTGATAGTTCGAGATTTGGTTAATTTTTATGAAAATTTAGTATGTGATTGTAGATATATGTTATTGATGAAAAATGTCCATGGGCACAACTTGATCCTTTGACTAACGCTTATTGATTTTGCTGAAATGAGACTTTTTTTAGTAGTACACTTAAGGCTAGTTATTTAAGGTCTTATGAACACCCTTATACTCAGATGGCACAATAATGTTTACTATTCAGATAAATTAAGCTATGTGATTATCGAAAAATTTACCCTTTTCCACAAAAAAAACACTCAAATAATGAACCTCTTGGATATACACAGGAAGCACGGTATCATAGTGAAAGTCACAGGTAAAATATTTATTAAATATTTGTTGAAGAAAACAAATACGAGTATTTAAATAAGATAAAAGTATTATTAAATATTAAATAGATATTTAATGAATATTTCGTGCTATCGGGGAGCAACTCTTTTTAAAAATAAATCTAAATTTCAGACATCAAATATATGTTATGGGATTAGACGAAAACAGGATCTTAAATTAGTAGTACTTAAATCAAGACTTGCGAAAGACTCAATCATATATAACAGTCTGAAAATTTACATGTGCCTCCCTAATGATATCGAAAGAACCAACAACTTACCATGTGTGAGTTCTACAATTTACTTGAGATCCACATATGTAATTTTATCCAGTTTTAAGTTAGCTTTGTCTTTAACAATGCTTGTATTCTTCAGAGAATAAAACATATATATCTTTCTCTCATATACTAGCATCAGCTCGTCGCCTTTCTCACGAAGTGTTCTAACTGACAAAATACCAAAAATTGAGATAACCCGCATATAGGTGTATTATTCCATGCTGGTTGATCTGACGAAGAAGCATAACTATATATCTATTAGTGTGGGCAACACACCGTTAGCCCCTGGGTGTCTTATCTGCGAAGGTAAATTTATGATTCCCACGAAGAGACCTAAATGAAGATAAGTCCCTTAGTGTCCAGTAATCCTTGTTAGTATACGCTCCTCGGTGGTGGAATCATGGCCAAAGTGAGGGAGAATCTGCTCACAGTGCATTCATACTGCGATAACGGGAGTTGGCGATCTTTTTGAACCCTCATAACTCTATCCGGTTTTTTGATTCGCCAGAAAACGTCAACCTTATGTAGTAATTCCCAATGAATTTTTTGACTTCAAGAAACTTTCAAAAGATTTAAGAATATCGTCCACACGGCAAGCTGAGGAGGGGCAAAATATTAAACGGGGTTTATTGTAATAAAAGACACGCCCACCAAAACATTTTTTAAGTCTAGCGACTACGATACTAGTTATGACAGTATTGAGTTAAAAAGGCTGATGAGAAATAGTAATAATATAAATGATATTAAACTAGAACAACTTAAAAATAACAAAAAAGAAGTACTCCGAGTTAATTTCGTTATGTAAAATCCGAAAAACGCCAGTTAGTTGTACGCTTACCAGAATTCCAAAACTTTTACAAAATTTGGCCCATGAAACGGAATGAATTATTGATAATTTTGCCTTTTTTTGTCAAAATATAATATTTAAGTCAGTTGCTTTTCTTATAGTTTTTATTTCAATAAAAATTGGTTTGACGTTTCGAGTTGTTTTCTTCATCTAATCACGTAATATTTTTGTCATAATCTACATCAATTTTAGGCATGGACATTGAGGAAAATATTTTAGGGGGTAGCCAAACTTCAAAAGTCGATCTGAACTTTTTTACATAAACTTTGCTGTCAGCAGACCAACGATTACTTAAAAAATTTAACAATCAACAAATTGTCTGAGATAATCGCCCCCTTGGTTGGAAATATGATTATTTGCTTATAAGTAAATGAAATAAATTCTGTATATCTTAAAAAATTATTATAACAAGAAGTTCAATGAAAATATATTTTAGCTCTGTCTGACAAAAATCTTCTGAAAATTCTCACGAAGTGACCTACGTGCGTTTTCCATTTTTTTTCCAAAATAGCTTGATAAGCTACCGCAAATATTGAAACGGCATATGATTCACAATGAAAATAGGCTAATACACGTGAATTTTCAATTCGGAAATATCTAAATTTTACATACAATGCTCAATCAACAACACGCTGATTTCGTTTTCTTGCTCTCCTGTAAAATTCACTAACCTTTGGTTAGGACACTTCGTGAGAAAGCCGACGAGCTGAACGATTGTCGATATGTTACATCACGCTGATCTCCTCTAATGTCATGCTTAGCTCAGCGCTTATATTGTCATCCATTGTGCCTTAATGTTAACAAACTACATTTAATCCGAGATCGAACCCATAAAAACAAAAATTTATCATTTGAAAATTTTCTTGTAGTTTGGCACGACTAGTAATGGAGAAAACACCACACGTTATGTTCGCTGGAGCTGGCGCCAACCGATTTGCGAGAGAGCAAGGAGTACCATTCGTGGCACCTGGCAGTCTCGTATCGGAGTCCGCTAAGCGTTCCTTAGAGATGTTCAAGAAAAACCAAGCTGAACATTTGACAGAGACTGGACATACTAAGCCTCCCGGACCATTAAAGGATGTGAAGGTTAATTACAAGTTTTCCAAAATTAGTGTTTTAACAAAGTAGCTCTTCAGTCTGATTTCTCAATTATAGTTCCAACATGAACTATCTAGAACCTGAACTATAACGGCACAAAGATAACAGATTATCAGGGACTCGTAACTTTAAACAGTAGCACATGTTGAAGAAAACTACACTAAAGGTCCTTAAATACGAGAAAGATACTTCATCTTCAACAAAAGACAATTCACTAAAAGGATGTTAAACTTAGAGTTCAAATTTGTAGCTGTTTTAGTGGTGTGCAGTTTTTGACATTTAGATACATTTAAGCAATGTAAGCAGTAACTTATAAATAAATAAATAAATGAAAATGCCTTTATTTTAAACTCGGCGAAGATCAATATTGCTGTTTACTTAACCGAGTATTCAAAAAGTATTACAAAGAAAAAAAAAGAAACATGATCTTGGAAAATAGTGAAATTCAATTCAAAAGTTTACAAAGTTGATACCTAATTAAGTAACAGTATATTAAACTTAAAGAATTGTATACAAACAATAAAAAAAATAAAAACAATAAAATACTATGAATACAAAGCACTAGAGTAGCAACCAACAGGTAGTTCAACTAATAATTCGCAAGCAGGGCATTTTAAATAAAGCTACCGGCACTCCATTATATTCTCCACAAATTTGTGAATTAAGGATTTTAGGAGCCGTATACGAAAAAGAGCGCTGAAACAGGGCACTGCGATGTCTTGGAATACTAAAATTCTTGTCATACCGTGTAGGGCGATCATGGATTAAACTTCGAACACTTAACTTACTTCTAATATACCTAGGCTCCCCACTCTCTATCACCTTATACAAGAAACAGGCAAAATGAAGCATGTACCTGTCAGCCATATTCAGCCAACCCAGTTCAGGAAGCTTCGGACTGACATGAGCCTCTCTCCTCAACCCAAAAATAAACCTGATGCACGAATTTTGAATTTTTTGCAATTTGTATTTAAACAGTTTGATCTAGAAATGGTACAAAAACAGTATCACAGTAATTGCAGTTTGAGAGAACCAGCGACTCACACAAATGCTTTTTTAGGTCCCTATTTAAAATTAATCTATTCTTACATAGGTCTCGTAGTGACATATAACATCTTTGAACAATTTTGTTGACATGCGTTCTAAACCTCAAGTTTTGATCCAAAACAACTCCTTTATATTAAATATTCTTCGACCACCCCTATCTCCATTCATGACAGCATGAACATTCTGTGATGCCTCATGACGATTGACTCCAAAATACGTAATAGCTGACTTCTTCGGATCTATTTTTAAACCGTTATTTATGGAATATGTAGACACCGATTCTAATAATTGACTTATTTTAATTTCCATGTGAACAGGCAGAACTTTTGGGAGACTGGTATATATTTGTGTATCATCGGCATACTGATGTAATCCACAATTATCCAGATAATTACTCATGTCCATAGTAAATATGACAAAGAGAAGCGGTCCAAGAATAGAACCTTGCGGTACTCCTTTCCGTAGGATCACAGGTTGCGATAATTTATCATCCACCCTCCATAATCCAATCCAATCCATAAAACGACAATTTCCCACAAATCAACTCGTGATCAAGGACATCAAAAGTTTTACTATAGTCCAAGAGCATCAGGGCCGTGGTTTCACCTTTTTCAATGTTACACACTAAATCATCTAGTACCTTTACTAGTGCTGAGGTGGTGCTATGACCTTTACAAAATCCAGCTTGGCATAATGGCAATAGCTTATTTTTATTCAAATTGGAAGTAATTTGAACAGACAAGGCTTTTGCGAAAATTTTCGATAGTACAGAGAGCAAACTAATAGGTCTCAGGTCGGCCAAACTTTCCGGGTTGGTTGTTTTAGGATACGGCATGACCATAGCATCTTTCGACTGTGCTAGAAAAATGCTTTTTTCGATACAACTCCTTTAAATATGAAGGAGAACAGTTACGATAGTTGGAAAACATAGTTTGATCATGTCTAAAGCTGGTTGGTCCAACCCAGAAGCATTTGACTTTAATTTCTTAAGTGCATGGAGTATATCACCTTCATTTAGTAGTGATAACTCAAAACAGTTATTTGTAGCCTCCTCGTTTTTATATCTATTCAATGTTTGTGAGTTGACTGGGGGACATAATTATGTTGAGAATTGAGTCTTTAAAAAAATTATTAATTTTATCAGCGTTTTTTAGGTGACTAGGGATGTCTACACTACCCTTTTTTCCTTTGTAGATATTCAGTTCACTAAGAGTATTCCAAATTTTCTTTTAGTTATGACGCCTGTTCATTTGGTTTAAAGACGCCCGCTTCTCATTTCGTACTTCTAAAAAAATAACGAAACAGTTTTAAACAAGCAGCACAAAGTCAATACTGGTAGAATTCACAAACATAGCTAGGCCAAATATTTACGTAAATCACATTGTAAGTTCCTTTTAATGTTCAGAAATCCAGTAACGCAAATATTTTTCAAGCTACCGATTGCTTTGTGCGCTTTGGGGAGATTTTTATTAGAATCAATTTTCCGTCTATTATTTTATTCATTTCTATTTCATAGAATCCAGGTGACGTTGGAACTGTTGGAGCAGTGGCGATTGATATAAATGGAAACATGGCTGCTGGCACATCTACCGGAGGACTCAATGGTAAAATGGTGGGAAGGGTCAGCGACACTTCCATGATAGGCAGTGGTACTTACTGCGATGAAGACGTTGGAGCAGTTTCTACAACGGGTATGTGTACGAAGAGGTGAAAACACAATTGCCACCTATACATATTATTTCGCCAAAGGTTGACACATCTTCGGCCCAAACGGTGAAAATGGCGGAAAGCTCCTACCCATCTGCTCTACAAAGATTGACAGTTTCGATCTATGATGTCGCCCACCATCATTGAAAGGGCGATCTGTCCATCGGCCAAAATATTATTATGATTTATCCTCAAGGCTGCCAGCAACGGCGCGCTGTGCAAAATTGCACAAATAGACAGGTTCAATTGAATCTGGAACAATGTTGTATGCGATTGATCATGGTTACAGACACAGAGAAAAACTGATTCGGTTTAACGTGTGCCTTATGTATACAAGCTGTTTCAGAAGTATGGGATCAAACTTGTAGGGGTTATTCAGTGTAATAGTAGAAAACATTTGACTATAGGGACCCATATCCGGAAAAGTGTCACTACGGCACTACGGCCCTAAGACGCGTTAACATTTAGGAAGATATGATTTTCCTAAATAGGATTTAATGCATTTAATGTTTTCCTCTTGTACATGATATCATCACAACAATTGTTCAAAATGTCTTCCTCGAACCTGAATAAACAGTTATACGCGATTCAATGTACAAAAATGCTCAAATTTGGTAGGCTGTTAGCCCATTATTTTGAGAGATAATGATTTCACATTCAATATAATACTTATGCATCAATTCTACCACCCTTCCTTCCAGCTTGCAGCTTGACCCATTCAAAAAATAAGTTCTTAAAATGCACTGCTTAAAAACTAGGACGCATATGTTTAAACCAATTTTAAAGGACATCTATCAATGATATACTGATGTGCGAAGGGTGCATTAGTCCTGTGTGTGAGATGAGCAATGAGCGCGGTCGAATGAATTAAAGCGATTGTTACGGCAAATATCGGACTTCCTGGAACCCTACATGTTGTTGAGCCTAATGTCACATTCTTATAAATATTTTTAATCTTAGTGACATTAACTCCTGAAACATAACTCATCAACAACCAAAGACAATTTTCGATTTTATATCAATCATGTTCAAGTCACACAGACAAATTGCAATTATTTGATCGATAACGAATTCTTTAACTTCATCTGAAATCATATCTCGTACTTCTAGGTCACGGTGATACCATTGCAAAGGCTTGTTTGGCTCACAGCATCATAAAAGAAATGGAACATGGAAAATCAGCACAAGACGCGGCCTCACACTGCTTAGAGAAAATGACCAATCGACTGAAGCACACCGCAGGTTTGTACCTCAACAGGTTATCCTGAGGAAGCGTATTTTTATTCGACATCTGTAACCCATAGCACTAGTTTGTCAGACTTGTAGCTAATTTGTCACGTGACAGCGGCGTTGCGCTAAAATCTAAACTGATGGACTAAAACAAGCACGAGTACATGAGGTAAACAATAGTAAATTTTTAAACAGCCTTCTTTGCGTAAGGAGGCTTTACGTTTCGTGAGATGACGTGATAGATCATGATTTCACGTGACATCTGTTTCTAACTTAGTTATTTCTGTAGTTTTGGATACCCATAAGCTTCTTTAGCCTGCCTTAGGACTGGATAAGTGCTACACAGATTGATTCCCTGCTATTTCTGGAAAAAAATTAACCGGGTACCGTTCAATCTGATCTATGATTGAAGATAGCTTTTCACATGTAGGAATCACTGTGATGATGGCCGCTCCAGTCAGTTGATTGTAACCGGATTGAGGTCGATGTACTTTATCGTATCACTTTGGTATTGATTGTATACTGCATCAACGCTAGATGAATAGTTCTCGAATCGATGTCACATTTTTTTCAACAATTTTTTGTCGATACCCTATATGATGTCGCTGTCGTTCGTATTAATAATGTTTAGACAATAACGTACTGGTATTACTAGTATAATTTGCGCCACCTGCTGAATAATGTAGTCAACTCCATGTCAGCAGAAGTGGAACACCAAACCAACTGTCAGGACTGAAACTTGCAAAAGTAAACGTTATACATGCGTTTCCTTAGAAATAAAATTAGATTCATGTACTATTCCGTCTTCACCTCACGGACACAAGAGGCACGAGGCCAGAGCTCAATTGCACAAAAATTAAAAAATTAAAATTTCTGGATCACGAACTCAAATTTGGTTCTGTCCTGGGACGTACTCAGCTGTAGGCTCCGAGCTCATTTGTGTCTTAAGATTCCCTACAAAATTTTATCCTGTTGGCGTTGATATGCGCTTGCGAATGATACGGTAAACTAAGTACTTCAATAAATTCTGATAACCATGTAATGTTCCCTTAATTTTATAGTGTTGGCAATGATGAATCTGTTGACATTCGGTACTGTGTCAGTATATTTTTACAAAATTGATTTAATTTTTGGCTAACGCGGAGTGTAGTCATGATCGGTAACAGCTTCATCAATTGGTTCAGTTTGGACCTCCTCGATTACTTAATGAAAATCCACTTCCACAAAAGCGTCGGCGTCGCTAGGAGGTATGCTGTCATCGATATGGCAAAAAGTAACAACAGCTGATTATCTAGAGACATGCACATTTTCAACAGTGTAAATAGTTCTTAATACGGTCCCAGGCTTAACAAAAATGTCCTCGCTTAAGCTCTAAGTCTGCATAACTCAATTACAATATGCATGTATTTGAAAAAGGCTACCATGGTAGCCGGAACGTCGTTAGTGAACTCTATTTTTACCATATGTGGTTTCATTTAGCGTCCAGACAAACATGGAGGATGATAAGATATGGATGTCATTCAATAGGGAATCCAAAGATCCACCGTTCTTTTTGCTGTTTTAAAAAGTTGTCAGTTTTGGGTTGCGCTGTGCTATAACTTAAGCACTGATATGTCAGTTGCAGTTCAGCCGTTTACCTCAATTAACGTCAAACCGTGATGAACTAAGGCGAAAATGAGTATTACGAGACAGTACGCGGTACGGTACGCCTTTGCAACTTGACGATGTCGGTTGTTTTGAATATCACTAACTGATACGAGGGATGTCTTTTAAGTTTTGCATATGGAAATAAAACAACACGGCAGGTAGTTTTAAATGACTTTATTGTTTTTCGAAGTATTCACCACGAAGATTAATATACATCTGCATGCGCTCGAACAAATTTTCGAAGCACCTATTCCACTCGTTTGCTGGCAGATCCGAAACGGCATTTTTGAAGGCGTCAACTGCTTCTTCTGGAATCTTTGACCACGCAGTCTGTTTTTAATTTTCGGGAAAGTAAAGAAATCTTTAGGACTTAGATCAGGACTATATGGAGGATGGTCCAATAATTCCACGTTTTCTTCCGTTAAATACTGCCTTGTTTTTTGGGCTGTGGGCGAGCTTGCATTGTCTTGGTGGAGGATGATTCTTCTTTCGGGGTTCATTTTTCGAAGCTCGGTGATGACTTTTGAAAAATAAATGGTGGTATACCAATCTACAGTAACAGTTCTTTGCTCATTAAGAGGAATTGCTGCAATATGACCCGCTTTTGACACAAATGTCGCAACCATCTTTTTCGAAACACTTCGAGAACGGATGACTTTTGTTGGCTTTTCTTCACCTTGGAACACCAAAACAGCCCATTGTCGTTTTTTTTCTGGTTCATAACAGTAAATCCATGATTCATCACCACTAACAATGCTGTACACATTTTTTGAATTTCCGGAATTGAAACGGTCAAGCGCTTTTTGACACCAATTAACCCTGGCTGCTTTCTGCTCTTCAGTCAACAGGTGGCGTATCCAACGAGAAAATAATTTTCTTACTCCTAATTCTTCATGTAAATTTTTTTGAATTGAGGTCTTTGAGATCTTCAAGGACGCCTCAATCTCGCGATATGTCACATGTCTATCTTCAATGATGAGCTTGCGCACAGCATCGACGTTTTCCTGGGTGACTGCCGTTTTTGGTGCACCCACCCTGGAATCGTCGCTAAGACTCACCCATCCACGTTTGAATTCTCCATACCAACGGGAAATTTTCGACTGATGTGGCGCTTCGTTGAGAAAAACAGATAGTAACTCAGCAAGGCATTCATGTTGCAATAATTGTCTCTGAAAGTTGTAATAAATTATGGCGCGAAAATGTTCTCGGTTAAGTTCCATTTTTCTAATGACTTGGTGACACTTAAAAATTCACTGTAGTCAGAACACTGCACGTATTCTTGTGAAACTTTTAATTTAAGTCTACTAAAGTGTGAGGTTAAGATTCAGTCCTGAAGTTCGATCCGCGCGGTCTACTATGTTTCTATATGCAAAACTTAAAAGACATCCCTCGTAAGATATTATTTATGTCCACACTGTTACATGTTTATCGTGGAAATAATGTATGACACCCTTATACTGGATATAGTCAAACATTATGATGCCTAATGTGAATGTAAATAGCTTGTAAAGCGGAGCAGAGATAACATCTCGAGTCTAACCACTAGCGACAGAAATATGCAGTAGATTCCTGGTTGCCTAAGGGAACCTTAACACAATTTTACATCTATAACTAGCTGAATTATATTTTCTTCATTAATAGTATGATATCCAGGTAAAAAAGTTTTTCTGTCGAACAAATTTTCTTATTTCAGGTGCGATAGTGCTTTCGAAAGAAGGTGACGTAGGTATCTACTTCACCAGCAAAAGGATGGGTTGGGCGTACCAAAAAGGCAACAAGATACACTCAGGAGTTAACCATGATCACGTGGTAACAGAGGAAGTCTAATCATCATGCTATATAATTATGTTCGAAATAAAACACAATTGTATTATTATCAAAGTGTGTATTAAGAGATAAGAATTTCATTCGACAAAAACAACATGAATATTTACAGACATATCTAAGTGCTTCCAGCACTACTACATCGCATGCTAAATAAAATGTTTGCTTTCATTTTTAATTTCTACCAACAGTTGCTGAATAGAAATTTTCCCACACTGACACGAATATAATACAATTAAGAATTATGTTTTCATCCAAGTTCATCATGATACTGGGCACGAATTAAAAGCACGATACAAATGTACATGGTGTTCTCCGTACGTGCTTGTAGACAGTTTCAAGAAACGTACAGTTACTGTATTTCTTAAAAATAAATGGAACGATGCTTGATCCTTCAACAAAAAAATAAGCAATGCACCGTATTCTTACATATAATAAATTACTCGTTCCAAATAAAAAATAAGTGCAGTCATCATTGAAGTACTTTGTCTATAACCTGGTAAGTGTACCTTGTGAATAGGGTTCTCAGGTGTCAAGTCCTGCTTTTCATCCCGCCCTACAAGTAAATCAGTTTTTTGAGCAGGCAGCGCTAAGTCATAGTACAGTCTGATCATTTTCGATTTTAATTTCTACTTAGGACCTACAAACGTTTTTTTATATTTTGCTCGTCGTATTTTGTATGCATCTCTACCATAATAAGCGTTTATCTCCCTTGTAATTGTAGGGCCCACGGCGCTTTCTCTTTTCCCCTGTTTTGTGATCTAATTTCACGCCGCAGGATATCCTAAAAACATAAATAACCTATCCAATGTGATAACTAAAATATCAGTAAAGTCATTTATTTATGTCCGGAGCTATCAATTATTAGCCAAAAAATGTTTGTTATTGGCAACAATGAGTTAAGCGAAGCTGGTAAGATGTGCGGTAAGTTGCCAGATTGCACACAAATTTTATCTAAGATCAACTAAGTTTCAAATTTTCAGTAGGAAAATAGATTGACTGTATCATTGTATGACCAGTAGTTGCGTCGTCGCCTAATAAGGAATAAGTTAAGGGGATTCCTGTTGCGGTCATGTTGCATTTAGCTTAAGGTAAATTAAAATTAGAGGATGCTGCAAGGCATAGGAAAAATTAGACTTAGCAATGGAACACCTATTCATATAGTACACCCATACGCCCAGCAGTCGATCAAAAGATTTATAATTTGGCAGTCAGGATCAGGATGCATTATATACGTTTCAGATACAGTGGGCTGGATTTGATTTAGGTTCTTAATGTCCCATGTTGAGAAAGAGGCTAAATACGACCTGTACTGTTCCTTTCAATGCTCTGCTATTTTTTTTTTCAAATGCTACCAACTACAGACTCGTGTATACACGGAGCTGATAGCCACGACTTGCTCCTGTCAACGTGACTTAAAATATGTGTATGTGGGACCGATTAAAGTTTCCAAAGCTCGTGTGCTGAGAACATCTACGATTTTATTATTATGTGTGCTTATTGCTTCTTTAATTACAAGGTTGATATGCAAGTAAAGACAGGGGGCGGTTTTCAATCAGGTTGCTATAAAAGTCGCAATGTACAAGAGACGTATTATCACAAACACTAATATTAATTTAATTCTAAAGTATTTTGTTAGCTTAGATTGAATATCACACAGCACACACATCTTGCGCAGTAGCAGTATCGTAACCGATATCCGAGGTGCGATTATTGCTGACTGAAACTTTAGCGAATAAACTGTAAGCTTCTACGTCTACTTAATTAGTGGGAAGATTTAATCTAATCAAAATTAAAATACATTGCACAAAAAATCTACAAAGCATAACCAAATAAATTCTTGAGATCCCATGATTATCTTCATCTACACATTAACTCAAAACTCTTTACGAAAATAACATAATGATACACATGGTTGAAGAGTACGTATATGTTACTGTTAAACGGAGCGCGTAACATCCCCTTCTTTGGTCTTTCTAATATTTTCTTTTTCGTTTTCTCAGTCATTCCACAAATGCCTGTGTTCCTGATTATTCAGACCTAACAGCTTATTCAGATTATATGACTGACTCAGTGGCAAAGGTCTCACAGTCTGCCTTGTTGACAAGACATGATGATAAGGATCAACCACTTCTACCAGATACACAAGCAAACATATATAAAATCAGCAGCAACTGGTCACTCTGCAGTGATTTTTGCAACGGTCCGGTATATAGTCGTTTCCGTTGGACAGTGTTTAACACCAGCTATCTTGCTCCAAACTATTTTCAATACTCCTTCTGAAATTCCAGGTGATCTGTCCATTGACCTCCCCATTGTGGTTCCTTTTCATCGATTTTCGCTCTTTGTCATCGCTCATCTGCGCAGTTTTGTGCAAAGACAGTCGGGCTGGTTTCTTTGGAGGAGTAGGTCTTGTCTTGCTGTTCACGTTCTCTGAATAGCACCCCTCGGATGCATAGTTGGTGTCGCTGATATGGCCATTGAATCTGAAAACAAAAGAATGGCAGCTACTAAATCGTAAATATAACTAACAACCAATAAAATGCATATAAGTATGGATTAGCAAAAATCAGTTTGTTTAAGGTGATGTTTTTATAAGGAGTACGTAATAGGTATGACCAATACCTAATCCGAATGAAATTGAAGCTTTGCACAAGATAGAACAAATCTTTGATTATTTTAAATTATTGCAAAATTTTGAGCACTTTTTGAAACATGTCGTCAATTTAATAATACGTAGGAAAAAGGAAAAGTCAAAGAATAAGTTGTAAGTTTTTAATTTTTCAAATTATTAAATCTAAATTTGATTAGAGACTTATACATACCTCGCACTGCTGGAGTTGCAGTCACTATCAAAATCCAACGACTTGACGCTTCTTGCATCTTGGACCTTCTTGTAAGTTCTCTCCAGATTTCTTGGAGGTTCTGAGGTGTCAAGCTCCTCTACACTTTTTGAGTCCCCAAACTTGGGACCTATGCGTACTTCTGATCTGAAATCTATCACGGACGTCGATTTCCTGGCATTGTAGTGCTTCAGTATGTCAGCATTGTACTTTTCTGAGGCGGTAATGCACTGTTGGCGATGTTTCTCGTATAAATTATTACTTCTAGTCAATTCGTGAACGATTTGGGTGGCTTTCTTATAGCTTTTATCCATAATATCACTCGCGTATTTCTGTTCCGAGTTCGCCTTGAACGTGAAATCACCTGAGTATCGATGGTTCTGATGATTCTCGTAGTTCCTTCTGTTGTATCTGAAAGAATCATTAACTTCCTAATAAAATGATTCCGTCTTTTCGATGCTGGACTCAAAATTAATTATTGGTAACAGATAACTTGTTTTTATCAAAGATCTGTTCATGCCAACTTCATTTTTTTTTGAGTCCCAACACCTGCAAATAAGGTTCAAATTGTCTAAAAATATGCGACAATATTTAGCCCAAAGTGGCAAAATGTATATGGCATTAAGTACAGTGACAATAATACAGGATGATTAAAATAAACTTCTAGAGCAGAAGGTACATACAGAAATAGCATAAAAAGTCCCGATGAACATCGGTCCTTGAAATTTCCCTCACCAAGATACAAGCTATTAAAAATTTCTACGTCACCGGGCATAACATAATGCTGTGACGGAATAGGATAGCTCCTCTAATATACCACATTCAATTTTAATGTTAACGTTCGCATATTTTCAAAGTAAACCGGATTTAAGTCCTTTATGCGGATTTCATATCAAATATTCAAACCATTTTTTCCGAGAAGAATCATCCCAAATAAATCCTTCAAGAGTAACAATTTAGGGAAGACTGCATCCTTTAACATGAAGGCGAAAAACGTTTCAGGAAAAATACTACTTTTACCTTTTGTAGGGTTTAAAATGGCCTAGTTTCTACGCCACTGGTATAGCCATAGAGCCACACAATTTTTTGTTTGTACTGTTATTATACTGCTAGTACCGCATGTACAACATTTTAAGTCGGTATTTCCATCCACTCCGGAGATATAATTTTTAATATGTTTTGTTTTCTTTTTAATCCCAGACCTCAAACTATAGGGGGAGGAGATTTTTATGTTTAACGAGCTTCTTTGTATATGTGTGCTTTTGTTAGCTGCACCGTAGCGTCTTAACAAATGAAGCGAATTAAGATTTACTTCTTTCATGCGCATTGTCCTAAATTCTCCAACATCAACATAACCTAGAGGGTATGTGTGAGAGTATAATAATTGAGGAGTAACGGCGCTACTGTTAGTTTCCGCCGGCAAAGTAGATTTTTCAAATCTAAGCTTTAATGAACTCACTCCCGAGTTGGTGAGCTTTACTTATTATAAACCACTGGACTAGTAGTTCATGAAAACTCTTAATACTACACGCTTCGGTAGTCACTCCAGTGGCTGTGTGGCCGCAAGATTGAAAAAAATACAGGGAATGAAAAGTAAAACGTTATTCGTCTTTCGGAAATACAAAGTGCCCAACATTGTGTCAGACAACCTATTCGATTTTCATAAAAAGGACCAACAAGTGAGTACATACCTCTTGGTCTGCTCTATGGCAGAGTTAGTCTCCGAACTGTAATCCTTCTCCTTATGACAGTGATGGTGGTTATGTTTCCGATACGAAACTTTCTCCATCTGTCCTACTGGAGACTGCACGCCATTCCTCATCTGCCTATGTCTATGTCTACCTTTCTGGCAGTGATGTTCGCCAACCGGTGCTGGGATGTGGGTGCTCGACACATTGGAGAGACTGCTCTTCGACCTAGTGGGATAACTGGACTCCTTGGATTCATGGTTGTTAGTGGGTACAAGAGCAGTGATCTGGTTGCCCTTCTGGAAAATTTGAACTTCCGAATGACCGTTACTAATAGGGGATTGGGAGCTGATGTTAATACTGGTGACGTTTTGGTTCGTTTTGGAGACGACTGGTGCTGTGGTGACAACTCTTACATCTTGCTCTGGGGGTTTTCGACTGAGAAGTTCAGATACCTGTAACAAAGGGAAAATGATAAAGTCATTCCCACATAACAGTAGGCGATGATTTAGGCGATTTTTGAAAATTCGGCTTCACTTGGTACCGAAAAATCAGAAACTTTTTGATCTAGTAAAGACTTTGGAGAATTTGATATGAATCGATATGTCACTGAGCAATGATTAAAAGTCATCGAATATAATTTTTACGTATCCCGTAACATGAGCAACATGTAACTGAAAGGTAGAACTACGAATCAGAGTTTGCTACTGGAGCTCAAAATCGAGAAATGTAACAATGCAACCACCCAAATATATGCTATCAACCAGACGAAATCACGGAACGCACTTCATCGAAGTAGTCAGTGGCTCTGTTGAGGTTTTTTTCGAATACCATATTACTACCCCCTTATATAAGAAGGTTAAAAGAATTTGATATATAATGTAAGCTGTGTGTGACACTGTAAATCGTTACTCTGTGAAATGGTATATCAATAATGCTAGTTCTCATCTTTGTCTACAGCATCGTGTTCACAAGAATCAATTTGAAGGGTGACATAAGACGGAACATTAAATATACAGAACATATAAATATCTCTTTCAGAATAACTGTTTCGGAGGTATTCGATTCATCTAAACAATAAAAATTACGGGATAAGTTGAGGAAGTATCGGTATAATTTTCCTTCAACATGGGACTTATGCACCCAATCGTGAAGTTAATATTAAGCATCTTCGTTTCCATTTAGTACAATTTTAGTTTATCGCGGTTTTACACGTGTATGTCTCATAAAGTGTAATTACCAAGGTACAATGAACAAAACCGTTGGCTTAGAGTTAATGCCAAATATGTTCCACGGCACGTTCAAGGAACAAGTAGTTTCCGTAACTACAGCTGGAACCTCCCAGTTATTGGAAAGTGTCAGCAAAATAATGTTTTTCTTATCACATATGCAAGCTACGTATCTGTGGAGAAACGGTTTATTTAATAGAAATCGGCTCTTATCGACATTTTCTTCTTGAGAATTATCTAATCGAATAAAGATTTCAGTGACTTTCCATGACTATCTATAGGATTAGCTTTATGTTCCATAACAATATGAGAAACTTTACGGAAAAGTTTTACAACTCAGCAAAGAACAGCATTTACTTCTTGTACATGGGCTACCTCTGTAGGGAGTAGGTACATTCTTGTTGAAACCTCGGACGATTTTTTTTATAAAGGGTGTTCTGAAGTTGGGACTTCTCCATTACTAATAAATCTGAAAATCAAAAAACGGGTCTGCACTTAGCAGAGAAAAGATAAAGTGCGCGTTGGTGTTTAAGTGTCGCATCATGCAGGTAGACCATGATGTTCGCTTACAAAACGGAATAAAAAAAAGGGTGGCCAGCAAAATATGTTGTATAACTCCACGAGGAGCCCTTCCGTCAGTCCTCAATAAAATTACTCCGCTGTAAAACAGCTTATTACAATTTTTCTCTCTCAAATTCTAGATATCCTGGTCTATATAATGTGCTTGAGTCATAGAATAAATACCAGCATTTTACCTTTTTATGAGCAAACACCGAGCAGTTTTAACATTCAGTCGTTTTCACAAAACGATTACATTGTTGCGAACTCTATTATAAACTCACCTGGCGGGTAGATAATGCACAGAGTTACTTCGCACCCATGTGAAAATATCACTTTTGTTCTACATCGGGCTGTGTTGGCTACCAGAAAACATTGAATACACCAAGAACAAAGGTCCTGCGGACCGCTCTGAGAAGCATCTACGAATACAGGAAATTGAAGGAACAATGGCAATATTTATAGAGCAGAAAAGAATAGCCGAAAATACCATAAAAACTATTATAAACATACATCTTGAGATGTCCTATTACCAAGAAGCAGATGAAAGTGTCTACGCTGCTGATGTGACTCATCAAGAACTAAGCTTGCAGTCTGAATATTTTAGGAATAACGATGTGCTGATATGTTGGTTTATGCTTCTGACATGGTACATACAACCTTAAATCTGAAAAATTCACTTACCTAGGATAGTTTCATAGTAGAACGGATTTGATCTTTTTTTTTCTCACGCCAATATTGGCGAGGAAGTATTATGATCGCAAAAACATAGGGTACCATGCTTTTGAGACGTTACATGACATGAGCATTACGAAAATCATGCTTCTCGTTTTTGTCGGTCTATCAGTCCGCTAATTCTCGATCCGTTTATGACTCGGAAATCCAATGGGGGCAGAGCTACGGGCAAAAAAATGAAAAACCAAAAATACAAACATCTCAAATTTCTTTTTGTTTTGACGTTTCAAAGACTCCTGCTCATTTTCAGAATTTTGGGGAGAAATTGAGGGACATGAGTTTCAGGAAGTGGGGATGTAAACGCTGCATCTTTGGTATTAGTGAAAGACCTTCTATCATTGAGAAGCTTCTGATCCCAGTAATATCACGCATCTGTTAGATAAAATGGTCATATACATATGGTAAATTGAAAACTCTAGTGAGTTTAAATCAGGATACAGATTGGCACGCCTTGTCCATACCTCAAGGGTCTTCGATGGCTTCCCTCCCTCACCGTTGGCCATTCTCGTATATATATGGTCGTTGGCTTTTGCAATGACTACTGCTCATATATATATATATGAAAGAATTTGAGAAGTACAGTGTCCACCTTGATGCCATATTTGTATACTTCAAACGTTTTAACAGTGTTTTGTCCGTAAGCGATGGTGTGATCAAAATTTTTGAATAGACTCAACTTATGAAACATTATCTGTACTGCTTAAATTACAATAGATATTTCAGAAAACTTTGTGGCGTAGAACATTATTTTTCTGTTCCTCTGTACCCCTTCACAATGTTCTACTTTCTACGCCATGCGCCAGATGTTTTTTTTTTGGATTGCTTATGCGCTAAGGCGACATTTCCGGATCCACGTTTATAGGAATTTTTCATGCTATATTAGAAATATTGCCATGATCTTCTAAATCCTGAATCCCCTGTCTAGTCAACAGCATTTTTGTTGTGCGAAATTTTGTTGTTAGTGAGTAACTGTACTTGTAGCGATGCAGGTTAAGAATGTTCAAAAATAGTGTTTGATGTAAATGATAATGGAGATGTTAGAAATGACCGAATCATACGATGTAAGATGATAAGAAAGGGATAAATAATATGTGAACCTTTCTACTATTAGCCATACACGTTGTTCTACTGGAACTAACCTTACAACATTTATTCGCATGCCTGAAAGCGATTACACGTTGCAACGTTTTGGGTTAGCTGTATTTCAAACATTAGATTCAATGTTTCACGTCCGAAGCCATATTGTTAGTAAATTTTTTTAATATAAAAAATCATGGCATGTGATGCTTGTGCCTGCAAGTTTGCTTTACGTTTAGAGACATGAATCCAGAACTGTTGGCGTTAATAAACCTACTAAATCGTTACGTTTTGATTATAATGATGCAATACAAAATAAGTAAGAGAAACTATTAGACGTGTGGGTTCTGATGACACTCCATCTGGAGACAAACTGAAATTACCTGTTCTTCTAAATATGAAATCCTGTGGGTCAATCTGATGTTGTCAGTTCTGAGCCCTTCCTTGGCCTTTTGAGCTTCCTCCGCCCTGTCTCTGAATTCCTCCAATTCTGTCTTCAAAGCTAGTACTTCTTTCGAAGGATTGGCAGCTATTGTCAGCACTTCCTCTTTTGCGGTTAGTTTCCTGAGCACCACCATTTGAGCTGGATCTGGAGCAGCAGCTAGCAATCGCTGTAAGTCTTCTACATTCTTGTTTAAAACGATTTTCCCATTCAACTCAATCAGCCTGAAATTCAAATGCAGAGGTCAAGAGTTTAGCCACAGAAATCATTAAGCCAACAGAACACGTTAAAAAAGAGCTACATCAGTGATGCTCACGTTAATAGAAAATTTGTATCGACATGAATCTTGTGCAGAAGAAATCACGGCGTTGTGAAGAGTAAACCTTGTTCACAAATAACCCTCGAGACAATACTCTGGAGATAGAGACTCTCCTAAAAACAAGGAACAGAAACGTACTTAATTGAAACTGCAAATACCTTGCTTACAAGATTTTATCTGTGGGTAGAGTTATCTAACAAAACGATACAAGACATTTTTTAAAACGTTGTAACAAGGCAATAACCATCATATCAAAAATTGTTATATTCAGTATCATTTCAACTTTATCTTAAAAAATCTGTTTGCCACCCATTATATTTTTTCCTAGAGTTAGCTGTTTATGCTTTTTTGCTCAAAAGTCTGTGACACCCTATTTAATTGTACCAACAGTACAGTTCCCATATGCTGTGCACTATTCTTCTAATTTGCAGCCATTTACTATGATAAAGTTGTCACCATATCAGTTCCGATAAGTGGGCCAGTACTTTTGAAAAATCTCTATAAGAAGCATGATTGTCATAATTAGACTGTCTTTTAAGAATATGACCTAGTTCAAATGTTAAACAAGCTTTCCCTAACCGTACGTTAAGTTGTGAAATCAAAATAAGGGGTCCATTCTTCTACTCGATTTCTTGTGCGACGGAAGTCTATGCTGGATGAATAAAATAATTATTAGGTAGTGTGCGAATGCGCTTGCCTGCCTTTTGTTATGGCTTTTTGGATCATTGTTGTTTACGCATCGAGCAGTTAAGAAAATACCGAGCGTTCCCAGACATTTGTTAACTTCAATGAGCTATTACCTATCTGGAAATTTGAGATGTAATTTCATGGGTAGTGTTCCGCATTACTTTTAAATAGAAATGATTTTCCTTCACCGTTCATAACAAAAAGGTAACTGATTTCATCCATAGACAAACAATGACTTTCATTCGATGTAGTACAAATCTGTCAAGCCATTTTGGAGATAAATGGGAACATTCGTGGCACTGAAGTGTGTACTAAAGTGCTTCTTAGCAATCTAGCACCGTAACATCTTCCTAGAAATCATTATCACGGTGTCACAAAATCACACATTGAAAACCATTTGTAAATCGATCGAAGCATCTTAAGAATAGAGGGGAACATTCGTTTGAAGAAAAGTGTCAATTGCAACGCCCCCTGGTGAGCTAACATGACAACATCTATCCAGCAACCACCGCCGACTGGTCATGCATGCACCACCAAAAATTGTTACTAAGCCGTTCCAAGCATTTGAGAGAAAAATCGAAACATTATTTTGCTTGCATACTCGCACTCGCAGAAACACTGCTTCGTCAAATATAATATGTAAAAAATTTGTGACTTTTTGCCATAGTTTTGTGGATCACAGAAGGTGAATATTCGAAAAAAATACATTGGGAGACGACAGTTAAAACAAGATCAAGTTGTTCTATTGTACAACCGATTGCCGCCTAATTAAATTTGATGAAAGTGTTTCCTGAATGGGATCTTTGAGAGCAAACGGTATCTCTGTGTATCATTAGAGAGTTCTGGTCATCACAAATACCGGACGCGTATACTTTAATGATAACCTATAATCCATTGACTTCCTGTGACCTAAATTACAACTTGAACGTCTACGTACGAACTATTGCTGAAACTCTATTGTCAACTGTTTTCATGTCGCTTCGCTATCCTTTGGTCTCAGAAATGTCATTCGGCGTAGAAATTATGTAACAAATTATGCTCCTCACCATTACTCTTACATATAGTTATGGGCCACCGTCAATTTGCTTGATAAATATCATGAAGTAGGTTACCTAAGCATCATTAGGAGTCTTTCTCTGGATATAAATCCATAAAATCATTAAAGATGAAGTGTTAGTGAATTAATAATGTGCTTTTAAAAGGAAATACAGAAGAAATGTAGTCTTTCAGCACAAGATGTGTCGATATTATTTTCTTTATTACAGGGAATAAGTAGTTCTCTCATACAAAACATGCAACACAACTATTTTTATTATTATCGTTAGATTACTTCTTTGTGATGATAAATCCAAATTGGCGTTATGATTGCGCTGGGGCATAAGCTGCCAATTTGTTAAAACTGTTTGATCAAACATCTCGTAAACCAATAAAAATATTTTTGTAGAAAATTAAATTTTTTCATTTTGTTTCTTTATAGATCAACAGCTTGTGAGAAATTTGTAGACACATTTACATGGGATGAGATTTTTGCTTATAATGGCTAAACTGACAATGCAAGCCTCTAAAGGCTACTATTTGTAGAGAATAAAATTTGCTACAAAAAATGTCCTACAATTTTTGACAGATTAATGGTTCTTGAAGTATACGGAGCGAAAGAAATAAATTCGTATGCACGTGTCAGCATACAACATGATTTCACATGAGGATGACCGCATAATCATTATATTATGATCGAGAATACCATTTTAAGGTGAACTCATTATTCACTGTCACACCTAAGGATGAAAATGGAATACTTCTGGACAATTTGTGAGAATGCAAGTCACCCACTTCAATCAGTCTAATGGTCATTTTGGCACCGTGTAGCCTCAAGAACTGTAGCAATGTTTCCAATGGAAGGAGAGCGATTCCGTAAACTTTTATATTGAGATCACTGCAACGGTTGATGAAATTTCGCAGTGACAAAATCATCAAGAAATAAATATTATATTTTCCCTACATATACGTGATAGTAGAAAGAAGGCATTCACGTTAAAATGTTGTCCTTGATCAGAAGTAATGATTGTGGGGTTATCCCGACGTGAAATAATCTTGTATGCTGACACGTGGGCAACTTAGCGTGCGAAGTATGCTGCGCGACGGTTTTGGTACGAATTCTCAACTTCAAGTTACCATCAAGCTGCCGAAAATAGGTGATAGACCTTTTTAGCAAACTTCTAGTCTCTAAAAAAGATACGCATTAACCTTTGGTAATAACAACAGTACATTTCACGATTTCATACTAAAGGATTTATGGATTTAAAATACCTTTTTTAGATGAATGTAAAACCATGTTACCCAAAATTTTATAAATCATATGCGCATCCAGGGTGGAAAGTTATAAAGGGATCAATGCTGGCCAGATAGTAGAGAACCTGAATGCTTATCGAATCATCCCGTATTTTGAGCTCACGTTTGCAAGTGCAGCCAAACTATGAGGCCTACGATAGGTAGATGTAGTGCAATGGTGCGTCCTTTTGATCACTATGATGTTTTGAAGACAAACTTCATAAATGCCCGAATACAAATTACTATATCAACTTTTGCTGGATCTTCCCGAATATCGTGAGCTGCCAACAAAGTTTCACATTAGTGCTTCTTTTACCTGTAGAAACTATTGGAAAGCTACTAGGTTCCATGAAGAGTTAACTCTGAAAATTTTATCTGCCTATAATAAAGGCATTTTATCGAAAATTGCCGGTTCAGTAGTATAGGTACCACAAAGGTCTAACCGCTGGAAGTTCCAACTGGTTTGGGAATATCCTCTAATTTTCAATTCTGTCAGTCATGGAGCCCCTTAAAATCCTTCAAAAGGAACAGCCATAAGAGTCAGTGCAACCACATTTTTTGCTTTTGTGCCTTTCAATCATCACAACTGGAACATACACATTGCTTCTGCTTTTTTGGCGCGAGTCTTACCCTAATTGACTCTTGGCTAAATAGGAAATATTTGCTTTTTGGCTAGGTGACCATCACCAATCATGTGCCAGGTTATTTCGCACTTGTTAAGATACATCAGTAATTGATTTTTGAAGAATTGGGAAAGATGTTTCTTGACAGATCATCAATCCCATGTTAGTTTTACCACTCAGGGTAGTTTTGTGAAGTGCAATTTCCGATTTTATACATTTATCGTATAGTAATAGTTTTTTCAATAGGTTATAGAAGAAACTGTAAGGCTAGACTTTTGTTGGCAGCCCGTGAAGATTGAGAAGATAGCGGAGGCCCTACAGTAGTCGAAATTATGTTTTTATCAAGTTTTTTCTCAAAACAGCATAGTGGTCAAAACATAAAATGCTACTGAACTATTCTGTATAACACATTTAGGACGGCGAGCACCAACCTAGAGTATTCAAAACTGCGCATATAATAGTATGTTACCGAAAATATATGAAATCGCTGAATTTAGTTGTTGCGTATCGCAATGAGTCCAGAACTATTTAGCTTCGGTATCGAAAATATCATCTACATACAGAACACCTAATAAAATTTTATACATTTTCAGCAAGACACTAATTTAGTTGTGAATTCTCTTGGTTGGTGCTTGCCAGCCATGGTTAATTCAAAAGGCATTGAGGTCATCTCTTTCCTGAGCATCATTGATCGTCCAATAACATTCCACTCTGTATACAGTACTTTGTCTTGAAACTGCAGGCGTTACAGTAGTATTATTAGTTTCTTATAAATACCATACAAAGTCGAAGTAATAGCTCAGACTTTGTAACGTGGTTCGTCGTGGAAAGTCGTAAGCTGCACTGCATGTACCTAAATTCTCCAAACGTTTCATAAATTCTAGATACTTGTACAAATCTGTTTTACTTTGTATAGATGATATAACGAAACTCTGGAGAAGTATTCGTATTTATGTTAGTCTAACATAGCGTGCATAAGTAGGAATAGGGTTCATGTAGATAATTGATTTGTATTAAAACATTTGAAAAATTACGCGTTATACAGACCACCGTGATACACGTATTGGGCAACGTGTCATAATTTTTAAATTTGACTACCTTATATTTTATTTGATTTTAGCATAAGCTTTACCAAAAAAATTTTCATATTAGAGAGTTTTTAGTGCTTTTGCTTTGTTGCTTAATTACTATCTCATTATTTCGATTTTGCGCGAGACATGTTCCTTTGCTCTCCATTATCGGAATAAGAAAACTACGTTAGTTACGGAGAATAGGGGAGCGACTATTTTGTAAGGTAAATTTTCCCTTATTCAACGCTGTTGTCGTAATTCATAAGGCTGGGTGAGCTTAACTGAAATAATTTCAAGTTATAAGAATATATTCGTTACAACGTATGAGAAATCAGAAAGATGAGCTTTAGATCACATACGTCAGTATTCTAATTAAACTGAGTTGTCCTGATTCTTGTTCATGTCTTTCCAGTGTGGCAGGATTGCCTTTTACTGAAGCTCTGCTAGTTTTGTGGTCACTTGACGATCTGTGGTTCTGTGATTCTAAACTTATTCATTTCTTGTTTGGACACAAATATTACGGAAACTTAGCTATGAAAAAATTCAAGATGGTTTTGAAATTTTTGAGTTAGCCCCACGTCAAAATAAAAAATCAATCTGTCATGATGGTCAGCAGTCGGTACTCTCGAAATACCACTGTTCACTTGAAGATAAAACTCTTTCTTTTCCAACCATCCTCATTTGATGTTGCTGTCAAAAATAACAGAAAGAAACGCTTAACGATTCGTTATTTTTGTTGCACTAAAAACTCTCTAGTATATCTGATAGAGTTAAATGGCTAGTTGTTATAGACTATTTGATTAAATTTCAACTTCGACAATCTGAAGGTCAACAATCTTACAAGATTGATCTTTATGACAAATCAGTAAAGTAGCATTAACTTAATTTTTAGTAAATATACAGGGTGTTTCAGTTTATTGTTGCATAACTTTAAGATTCGATAGAACTTTTTTAATGCATAAAGTCTATATAAACATGGGTCGAAAAATGCGTTGCTTCCGAAATACAGGGTGTTTGAATTTACTTTCTAAAATAGTTTTTCTTTAAATATTTCGAACAATATTTGATGTATAACAGTGAAAATTGGTATACAAGGGTTTTTTGGTACGACAAAACGAACCATGGGCATAGTCTTACTGTAGCCACTAGAGGTCGCTCTCTACTGTACCTGTAGTGTATTAAAACGACCGAAAAAATTTTCTTAGTGCAATTTTTTGCTTTTTGAATAAAAAAACTGATTCTTCGCACTTTTCAACATAAAAAAGCTCTCTTGTGAATTTTCGTTATAGTTAGCCGTTTTTGAGATATTTTGATTTTTAAGGTTCGATAATTTTTAGAAGTAGGCTGTGCCTGCAAATATTTTTGAAATTGAAAGCAGAATAAGGTTAAACGCAATTAGTTGACAGTTAGTTTTGTTGTCTGTTGAAACTTGAAACGCTTTTTTGCAATTGTGAATGCACGAAATTTAGTTTCTTTTACCTGTTTTTTTTTTGTAAGTTTTATAAAAATGCCATTTTTATTCTCCAATCAAGAGTTAGCGGATATTCATTTTGTGTATGGCTTTGTAAATGGAAACGCAGCAGAAGCAGCCAGAGAATACGCACGAAGATTTCCAAACAGACGACATCCAACTCGCTCAGTATTTGTAAGAGTGCATCGCCAAATAATTGAAAATGGTTTTGGAAATCTCCAAAGGGATCAAAACATAAATGTTCGTCAGCGCAGATTTACCGGTATGATTCTGCGTGAGTTTCATAGAGATCCGACCACAAGTGTTAGGAGAGTTTCTGGTGCTTTGGGAATTTCAGCAAGCCATGTTCACCGTGTTCTTAGAAATGACCATAGACGTCCTTACCATTTGCAACCTGTGCAAGGACTACAGCCAGGGGACGGAGAACGAAGAATCACATTTTGTCAGTGAATTCTTGATAGAACTGATAATAATAGGGAGTTTTTCAGTAACGTTTATGGACCGATGAGTCATGCTTCACTAGACGTGGAGTGGTAAATTTTCATAATCAACATATTTGGTCGCATGAAAATCCGCATGCAGTTCGGAAAAGAAATTTTCAGCATGAATTTAGTGTGAACGTGTGGATTGGTATCTACCTTTTGCCTGCAAGGTTAAATGCTGCGACCTTCTTGGAATATTTAAAGGCTGAACATGCAAATATGTGGGATGATGTTATGTTAGATTTAAGAAGATTGGCCTGGTTCCAGCTTGATGGTTGTCCAGCTCATTATTCGAGAATAGTTAGAAACTGGCTGGACGAAAATTATCCAGAAAGATGGATCGGCCGTGGAGGACCAGTCGCCTGGCCTCCACGATCCCCTGACCTAAATCCATTAGATTTCTTTGTGTGGGGATTTCTAAAAGAAAAAGTGTACCAGACTCTTGTAACCACAAGAGATATGTAATTGACAGAATCAGGAATGCATGTGATAAAATAAGGCCTTATTTGAATAATGCTATACCACGTTAGATCATTCGTAGATGTGAATTGTGTATTGAACAATTGGGTTTACATTTCGAGCAACTAATTTAGATTTTGTATGTTTGTCCTAACTATCCAATAGCATTTTAGTTGTAAATAATTAATTTAATTTGTTAAAAATAATATTGGAAAATTAAACAAATTAATATACTGTTTTTTGTGTTTATTTGGAGTTATGAATTATTGCTGTGTTTAAAAACACAATCTAAACGATCATCTTAATTACTTGTAATGCCCAAATCGAAAATGTAAAAAAAATATTATTTTCCCATAAATAATTAAAAATGCATCGAACCCTAAAAATGCAAATATCTCAAAAACGGCTAACTATAATGAAAATTCGCAAGAGACCTTTTTTATGTTGGAAAATGCGAAGAATCAGTTTTTTTATTCAAAAAGCAAAAAATTGCACTAAGAAAAAATTTTCGGTCATTTTAATACACTACAGGTACAGTAGAGAGCGCCCTCCAGCGGCTACAGTAAAACTATGCCCATGTTTCGTTTTGTCGTACCAAAAAACCGTTGCATACCAATTTTCACTGTTATATATCAAATATTGTTCGCAATATTTAAAAAAAACTATTTTAGAAAGTAAATTTAAACACCCTGTATTTCGGAAGCAACGCATTTTTCGACCCATGTTTATATAGACTTTATGCATTAATTTTAAAAGTTCTATCGAATCTTAAAGTTATGCAACAATAAACTGAAACACCCTGTATGTTTTGATAATATGAACACGACGCACAGAAAGGCAAACTAACTTTCTACTAAATTTCAAATGGTACGGCCTGCATATTTGCATATCTTTGCAATGTGTCAATAGACATATGATATACAATAATCTAAAACAGGTATTTGGTGTGAATAGCGATTACACTGCCATATACATGGATAGATTGCTGTTTATAGACACAAAGACTTGCTAAAACGCATAATGAGCTATAGAAGATCAGATCATTAAAACTTATTTCTGTTTTAGAGTGTGTAGTCAACTGGCAGAGTGATCTGATAAGTTGTAGCAATCACGGATCTTTTCTTTAAAACTAATGAGTGGAGCAAAATGGACATCTCGCTCATGTGGCCAGAAACCCTGAGAACTTTATATCGATGACCCGATGAAAAACTCTTGTACAGTAAGTTCACAAGTCGGTTATTTCACGAGATTATAGACAAGGGACTGTGCGCAAACCGGAAGTAGATTAGTGTAATGAGAACAAAGGCAATTGTTACTTGCCATCCGTATATCCGGTAGCAGTACAACGACGATATTCGAGTGTATGAATATACACCTGTAGGCCGTAGGAAAGTGGATGTTTGTGAAGGCGAGTTTCTCTAACTAATCGAGCAAATACAATAAAGATCCATAGAGTAACTGAAGTGTTAAGGCTCACGTCAGACAGAAAAAGCAAATTGATGAAATGAACTTCAGGAAGGATTTTATCGGAAACAGTATGGAATGTTACTATAGACTTGGAAGAAATCATAAATTTACTATATGGCGTCGTTATGATTAAGTTCTCTTACTCATGTACAAATAGACATAAAGAGCAAGCAAGGCTTATGCCGCTCAGACGCGTTTTTGAACCAAATGACAACCTTTGAGGTTAATCCCAAATACGGAGTTTTAATGTAGATAACAGAGGAGATAAAGATAGCTTAAGCGGTGGTTAAGTTTAAACCACATGGGGAAAGCCTTGCTTTGGTATATAGACCATGAAGACCGCATTGGCATGTAAATCAGAAGTATGTTGTGTGAATAACGAAAGAGTTACTGAGAACTTATGTGGTGCTTATGCCTCAACCACATCAGGTAGACTGTAAGGTTTATTTGAGTTATTCTGGCATTATTATGATGTGGCGGTGTCAAGAAGGAGGTCTCAGAAGAACAGCGAATTCCGTAGTCACAACGGTAGAGAAGCTCAAGATTCACCAACCGCTGGTCGAGGAGATGGAGTGTCGAGAGTCCTGAGGAAGCACCGCCCACCTGTTGGGTTGTCCTTTTCTGAATCACTTCAAGTGAATGAAGAGCGAAAATACTGTATCGCCCTCGGTTTTACAACAAAACGAGTTACATGACAGTAGATGCAAATTACAGGACGGTATGGACGTCAATTCTTGAACATGATGTCTTTCATCAGTGTCACCGGCGTTCATCAGTGTCTGATCAGTGTCATCTCTAAGCTTGTGATTAAGCATTGTATAAAAAACCTAGGAGCATAATATTTGGAATGTTCTAATAGCACTTTTCTGATGACTTATTAGGCCTTTATAGTGGCGATACCTTATTTTGTTTGTTATGTTTTATCTATTAAGAAGTGAACATGCCTGAATGTGCATGTAGGGATAGTAAAATTATTACATTCGTAACAGAAAATGTCCCACTTTGAAACCATCTTAGTATAGTCACAAGTCTGTTACGTATTCTACCTAATGATAGCCAACCATACACAGCATTTCCTGTTCTGCTACTGTCTTATAAATGTCGCTAGTATATTTCAGATTCTAGACGCAGGAATACAGTGTTGGCTGTTTTCATGTAGAATCCATTAAGCAATGGTATTAGCAACGTTAAAGAGACATGGTATTTTAACAGCAATCGGCCCAGAACACACAAAAAAGAGTGCTACTGATTCAAGCGCATGAGTTTCTATGAAATTATGATATTGATTCGAGATCACAGGCACAGAATGTGGTAATTTCGTAGTCTTAATGAAACGTAGCACTTACAATTGAGAAATTGACCTTAATTCAAACATATTTGTCTTAGAAACATATCGAAGTCACGGTTCCTCAATTGAAGATATTTGTCCTTGAACCAAGATCACTATTTTTTGTGTGAAGAATAACATTGAAATAATAATAATAATAATAATAATAATAATGTGTCTTTATTTTTAGTTAAAAGAACAACAAAGAAAAGAAAACGCACTTGATGAGGGAGGCAACGTTCAACATAGTTGCTCTTCCATGCAACCCCCTATCGTATTCATATTCAATTTGGGCTTGCAAATTTAATACAAAATCAATAGAAGCATAAATAGATAAAATAGAATACATAAAATCTTAAATGAGTTTTCTTTTTAATCAGCCGCAGTTAACAAAGTAGGTATCATCTTCCAAGACATGCATTGTATAAGTGCGACCACATTAAAAATATATCCTGTACCAGCAAGGTATAATTAGACGTGCCCTAATTAGGCTTTAGCGGTGTTCCACAGCTTATTAGGCCGGGGAATGTCTACATCGAATTTTTTGTCCCAAAGCCAATGATCTGATTTACTCGATAAAAGCGAACATGAAACTATTAATTTCACAAATGTAACAATAGATCGTTAGATATCTTGTACAAATAATAATTATTGTATAATTAAATAACAATGCCGACCTACTACTTCGACCGAATGTAATTTACTATTAATCTTACATAATATTTGTTTCTATTTGCAGTTGTAACTGATATGAAAGTGAGAAAGGTATACAGAAAATGGTATATATTGCGTCTAATTTTTGCTTATAATCGAGATAAGTAAAAGATGAATGCAGGATTGTAGAAACTACACGAAGGTTGTATAAGTTAGTATGGGTCATAATCTATTCTTAACGACATACGGGATGTGAAGTGTACCTATGACACTGGAACAAAAGTCATATACAGGTTAGAAAATATTGCAACTTGACTTGTGTTTCGATAACCAAGACGAAAAAATGTATAAGCGAGCTAATACATGATACCAAATATAATTAAGCAACCGGTAGGCCTGCCGCCATCTTTTTTCGGTTGCTTGCTCTAGAGCTGTTGGTAACTTTAAATCATGCTAATTGAATAAGCTCTTATGTTCATCGCTACACGTCTCAAGTTTCGATTCCCGGCCAACTGCCCAACTGTCCAACTATAACCAAATCGACTCGCATTGGCGCGAAAGGTGCAGCATACACGACATCGCGCAGGACATAAGAGTGCGGCACGAGTTGACGGCAATTACAGTGGCGGTGTTAGGCGTATTTGACACATTGCTTTTACCTTATATAATTACATGACCAAACAAACTTACCTGTAAGTGATGTTCGATCTTAATTATGTGAAGCCCTCGTCGAAGTAAATATTTAGAATACACATCGTAGTAACCTCGTAGTAGTACACAACCGCCACGATTTCAAAGCGCGCACGCAGAGAAGGAAAGCAGCACGCGACGAGGACTTCACATAAGATTAAGATCGAACATCACTTAAAGGTGAGTTCGTTTGATCATGTGATTATGTTCCGTCCTCGTCGAAGTAAATATTTAGAATACATATCGTAGATGTTCAAAGCTAGTTGCAACCACATACTACTAACGATCTGTAATAGTAAACCATAGGTTGTAAACAACTACACAAATTTTACGCAATGTATGTGTCAGCTAAATGTACATTTCCATTGTAACAAATCAAGTTAAGGCTTTTAGTATCAGGAAATATGACGTATCTGGTTCAAAAATTACCATCCATCTCATGGTAATGAGCAAATAACGTAATAACATAGTTATTTGCAAGGTGTGGAGACTTGGTTCACCTCAAATTCCGCTTGAGCAAAGCTATTGTTTGGCATAAGAGGTTTGTGATGTATCTCAGAAAACGCATTCCAGCCCGCCGCGAGCCTGAGACTACTATAATTTAGCCGGCGGGGAGGTAGACGCGTTTTATGTACCGTGTGTTGTCAATTGTGACACTCTCTGCTAAAACCGACTTCATCCATCTGGGAGACGAGGCACCATGATAAAGTTACTGTACAGTGACAAATAAATGCTTTGCACAGATATTTGGTCGTAAAATCCGGTAAAACCTAAGTGGTTGCCACGTGAGTGACCCCGAGACTTTTAAAAACTCAGAAATCCCAATTTCAGTATTATTCAACCCAATGGGGATGTTGTCTGTTTCAATCAGTTTGCACACTCTGACCTGAGGTTACAGCTAGCAGTGTTGCTGACTTCTACAGAGCTTATCAGCAACCGCTTTGGTTGGTTGAGAACAACCACAGTATATATATTTCAGTTGAGATGGCCTCAGCCTGTAAATGACCTTCTAAAACCATCTTATGTCTGTATCGTTAGTAGCATTTTGGGTAAAAGACTGATAGCTCAAACAATTATATCTTGATGTTTTATAACCTGTAAGGTAAAAAATTTCAAGGTAGGAAACCATACATGTATTTCTTCCCGACAGAGGTCCTACCGTAATCTAAGCCCACAATACAACGGATTATCGATGTTGATTGGAATGACAGCTTTCCAGTGACGATAACCAGGGTAAGCTTACGAATTAGTGGGAGCGGCGTCCTGAGAGTCTTTCCATCAGATCCTTGGGTTACTTCTAGAGGTGAAATTTCAGAACCACTGAATACTTGAACCAAAATCAGGACGGTGACAGGTGCAGCTCCCACTCCGTTTCCACGTCCCACTGACGCAAAAGCTCATCTGTACCAGTATTACTCCTAGATTTTATATTTGGCGCGAAGGCAGTAAGATTTCTCTCTTTACACAATTGCCATAGTTTTCCCGCAACCTGTTCCAGACGTGGAGGTCAGAAGCTCTCGATTCTATTGATGTAGGATGGGGTATGATATGCGACAGCCCATCAATCCGGTAGCAAAGCATTTACCACGGAAGAAAACTGCCGGTTGTTCTTCATGATTAGCATGCGGGATCTTCTCAGGTGACCAAGACTCCTCCCTGGCCAACGAATGTCCCAGTTCGAGAAATTATACAACAAAAAATTGGATAACTCAATACCTCTGAGCGCATCTGCCAGCTTCTTTGAGCCCCAGCCAAGGTAGACCTTAAGTTATATTATGTGGCATAGTAGCGTTAAAATTCCCTTGAGAATTTTACAAGGCAAGAAATTTTACTCGTTAGTGTATTGTCGGCTGTAACGAAATGAAACACAAGCTGACAACAAGACCTCGATGTTCACCGCAAAGTTTCGGACTCTGTCTTGGTTGCTGTCCGTTATTGCCCTTACTAGGTTAGTAATGTCTGCATCGTCCGCTCAAGTAAAGTTACTTATTGAGCCTGAAAGTTCTCAATTTTTTCTTAAGGTATTCCATAAATGGTTTTATTAACTTTGTGAACACATAAGGGGCATAATTTACCCGAAACGGTACAGCATTGTATTCGAAGAGCTGTCGCTTGAATATGAATCTGAAATACATTCTATCACATTCCCTAACGGGTACCAAAATCCCTGCATATTCCAAATCCAGATTCAGTAAGAAAGTATCTCTACGGATAAGCCTGATCCCACTTCAATAGCCCAGACGTAAGTGTTATATCCCTATGAACAAACAGTCTTGAGGTAAGGAATAAAACGTGTGGACCCAGCAGACTTGGGGGCAAGAAAAAGTTGAATAGGGGCTGATTTTTAGTTAGCTCAACCTTTTTACTGATAGCATCGCAGCTGAGCAATTCATAGATGGCCTAATGAGATTCAGTTATGACAAACTGCTAAACCAGTCGCTATCTGAATGGCAAGTGACCACTTGTGTCCAACTCAGGACTTTAGCGCCACTCCTAAAGCTCTGCCGTTGATGATGAATACGCGTTAATGTCCATGCAGCTCTACACACCTCCTCTGCAATAGTGGGTTGATGTTGTCAGTACGCTATCTGGCCTTTTGGCCTTCAGTTGCTGCTCTGTTTATCTGATTTTTACTTAGAATTGTCTTACTTAGTCAGACCTACACCGAAGAGCAAGATATCACTGGAAGCCTCTTTCAGAGTACTCCTGAGTTCTTTGCTTTAATGTGAATATCTGCCAGCACGCACTTCTCTCCCTTCTTTGAACCTAGAGGATAGAGTATTGCCACTTGCAGTTAATGAACAGCTCACATATTGCTGTACCCAGTCCAAGCACGCATCCCTGCGTGCGACATCTTCTATTATGGCTACGGTTACCTCAGGGTTCACCTTAGGTGTTTAAAATAGATCAGAGTTTATTCATCTATCGTCATCAACAAGATCTACCCTCGAAATGTCAGCCTTGGAACAACGCGCGAACATTAATTTTACTGAGGTCGCCGCATCATCGTGGTGATGCGTCCATCTATTGAAACACACTACATCGCCTTTAAGACAAGACAATCCAGAGCGCCCTGTTGTTCGGGTGCCACATATGTAAAATGTAACGTTAATCGGGCATGATTTTTTAAGTTCCGTTATTACTGAACATTAGAACCGAAGATGTTCATAAGTAGAGTCCTGTTTCATAGTTATCATCAGCCATGGGGAATTTGCCATCACAAGCAAAATGTAACGCTAACCTCACATAACATACCTAATCTCTATCTCGTAATAAGAGAGAAACATATCTCGACAACTTCCTAGCCTGCCATGTTCAAACTTATGCTATCACAAGCAAAAGAGAAAAGATTGTTGACCATACCTTGTTGCTACGTTGTCCCAAACGCTTTCAGTGTTCTTATTTGTGCAACGAAGTTCAGTATTGAGTCGTTTTTCCAAACATCTTCATTCGTTCTTGGTGTGGACTACCACAAGCTAGGTCCATGTTGCTATCCCAAGCATCCGAGTCCAATGTTACAACGTTATCCCAAATGTCCTCGTTCATCCTTGATGTGGAGCTGACTATGCCAAGCCAGGTCCACGTTGCTATCCCAAGCAACCGAGTCTATTGCTTCCACGTTATCCCAAATGTCCTCGTTCATCCTTGGTGTGGAGCTGACCATCCCAAGCCAGGTCCAGGTTGCTATCCCAAGCAACCAAGTCTAATGCTTCCACGTTGTTCCAAACGTCTTCGTTCCTTCTTGGATGTGGAGCTGACTATCCCAAGCCAGGTCCATGTTGCTATACCAAGCAACCGAGTCTAATGCTTCCACGTTATCCCAAACGTCTTTGCTGGTCCTAGGTATGAAGTTGGCTATCACAAGCTAGGTCCAGGTTGCTATCTCAAGCAACAGGGTCAGAACGTTATCCCAAACGTCATGCTAGGCAAAATTTGCAGATCGGTTGTTTGACTGTTACCTGATGGTGACGCCCCTTCAGAAAAAGAGGCCTGCATGCCACTTTCTAATTTTGGTCGGCGACGAAAGGAACCTTCAGGCGACCGTCGGTCGGTATCTCATTCGACATTGCACATCTACCTTCAGTCCTGTTTCCTAATTCTAAATGTTCAGCGGATCCTTGACACTGCACTACACGAAGCACGAAACGAGGCGCGCCGATTAACGCCTTGACGGTCGGGTACGAAAACAAGGAATGAAGGTTTATAGGCGGCCAGAGGGGCGCGGTGCCGCTTTCCTTCTCGCGTGCTTTGGAATCGTGGCGGTTCGGTATTACTACGAGGTTACTACGATATGTATTCTAAATATTTACTTCGACGAGGACGGAACATAAGATGATGTTACGTCACCGGTATGGTATCAGCGAAAGACGTTCTATTACTGAGATATTTCTGATCTTAGTAATATTAATAATATAATTTTGACACATATTGTCCATACAGTGTCATTGAAACAGAAATATAACAGTTACAGTTTGAGATTTAGGATGTAGGACTGTCATGGGCACCCGCAAAAATGTTTCTTTAGTGTGGTGAATCAACGGCGAGAGATCACATTTTGTGAAAGTGTACCGGTCCCAAAAACTTTCTGTAGAGCTGGACAAAAAATTGTGCTAAACATCCAGATTTCAAGATCCAATCGAATAGCCGCGACTTCGCTGACCCCTTCTGCCCCTGAGAACTGTAATGTTTTACTGTATAATAAACACCTTTTGTGTACAGTAACTAGGGAACTGACCTAGTCCGGCTTTGATTTTATTAGAGTCTTTTGAGTAGTCTTTGTGACGAGTAGGTCGTCTCTATATATATATATCTCACATACAACTGCTCTGATCGATTTCTTCTGAATCATAGTTCATAAAGCGTTAGACGTCTACTGTATGCCATTTTTGTGTAGTACATAAATAGCTTGTCTGCGGAAGTCAGACGTAAAGTAAAGATGATCAATTCTTCATCAGTTTGCCAGCCCGGGCAATATGTTCGCATCTGATGCAAAAATATTCTGATTCGGTTTTTTTGCATAATCTCGTTCAAAACGGGCTTCTTTTAACCAATATGCATGTTTTCAAACCAAAATGTACGTCAAAAAATTTGTTAACAATGTTAACAATATTAATTATAGTAAACTTTTTTTTCGTCTCGGTCAAAGTGTGTCCATGTTCCTTGGGATATTCAAAACAAAAAATGTTCCTGAATATTGCTTAAACATCCATTAATAAAACTCCAGAGCATTTCAAGACGTATTGTTTTGTAAACTTTTGTTTTTTAATTTTTAATTGAGCACTCAATGGTTTTCCGCCGCGGCAGGCGCAACACATCTTTCTCGTAATCACATAGAGACACTGTTTACAATAACAATACCTCATCAGATGCTTTGGGATTTTGTTAATGGATGCTTGAAGAATAAATAATATCCAATAACATTGGCAGTATTAAAATTTTCATTTTTTCATATTGTTTTTCGTGATCTTATATAGCATATTTCGCACTTTATCAAATATTGTATCGCTTATATCTCGAAAACTGTCAACATTAGAGAACAGTTCTAAAGCATCTTTTTTGTTCGGAATGTCCTAAAAACAAAATAAAAAACAATTTTTGGAATCTTCTAAAAAAAAAAGATGTTTGAAGAAGGTTTGGCAAAACTTTGGGCCTAGCAACACGTGGATTAGTTTAAAGGAGCTCTCAGAATGAAATTACGCAAAAAATTCAATCAGAATATTTTTCTCATGAGATGCGAAATTGTTGCCTGGTCTATATCGAATAGTCTGACAGTTTACAGGTGATGTGGCGAAGATTGTACATCTGGAATTAATTACCTGGGAAGCTTCTCAAAGAACCTCACCGAATTTTGCTACGGACTCAGGCTTCATCGTAATGTTATTGCTATTATGCGCGTTGTAGTCATTGTGAGACTTCATTTCAACACAACGTGTACATGTGAAAATGTGCCAACGCAAACTCATTGTCTGTTATAGTAAAACGAAGTATGTTCATGTAAAAATAGTAAACTTACGTATTTCCAAGCAAGTAAATACCTGAATCTCATTAATTGTTAATAAGTACTAGATTGAATCATTATATATTATCTTGGATAGCCGCCAATGAAAACATATTTAATATTGCAAATAGCTCCCCAATATTTTAGTATGCTGCGTTTGAAGGTTTTCCCGTTAGCATGATTATATTGGCAAGTTGTTAAAATACTGGGGCGAACTATCTCAGCGAGTAACATATCTCGGAAGTCACACAACTCAATCCTCGCAACTACAAAAAAATCGTAGACACCTGGTGGTACTAATTATATATCATAGAATCACAACATACCTGTCATCTTTCTTGAGATTACTTCCTTCCAATGCCCAGTCTATGTAGAGTCCAGGCACATTTTCCCTCTGACCAGCTCCAAATTTGGGACTCTTTGGATCATAGTCAACGCTTACCGCTTGTAGTATCACATAATCGCTTCCCTCTATACAACTGAAACAAATATGTTTTATTATAAAATTACTTTACTTACTACCTTCTCAAAAACCTTATAACGGATACGCTGGTCGTAATAATTTACTATGAACAATAATGGAACTTAAGCAATTTAAACAAAGAGGTGCTCAAAATGCACAGCTATTTTATGTTGAGGGATAAGATATGTATCATGCTTACCTATACAATGTGTATGCTTCAGAAGAGGCTTTATTCGATTCATCTATACACAACTGAAGAGCTCTAGTTTCTTCTAACAACGTTAGGAGGTTAAGCTCTTCTCTTCCTAATTGATATTCTAATTCTGCTTGTTGAATTCTTACATCGATGTTACTGTGAATAGATACACTCATATAATAAAACAAGCATATACTCGTACAATTCATGAAAATTCAGTGTGATGACAAATCCGAATCTGCAGTAGGATTGCCCGAGAACTATCACACCGGGCATGGCCTTGTGATTTTGAGGTTTATCAGAGCCAAGATAGAGTCTGAAAAGCTGTAATTATCTGATGGTGTTGACTATTCTTTTTATCTTTGAGCAGCCACGCAGGCCTAGGGCCTAAGTACCCGTAGATACCATTAGGCTATAGGGATTACATGAAAAAGGGGAAAAGGTTACCAGGACTTTAGCAGGGAAACACGTGTGCATGTGCATGCACACATTATGTCCCCGCATTAGAGATCCACTAGGCGGTACCTCCACGCTCGACAGTCTGAGACCATCTACCACCATGATCACAACATCAATAGCAGAATATGACCGTCAATTGACACTATAAACATACAGCTCAAACCGTTAGGAATTACTTTTTGCATCACTTTAAACAATATTACTTTCGTTTTAGCAAGCGGTGTCTCAAGACTGTCCAAATCCGAATATATTATTATCAAGTTTTTACACTCTGCGCCAATTGGCTAGAGAATGATATATTATGTATTTGGGTACATAACATGTACATCTCGAAAGACCATGTCACTCATTTCCGTCAGCTTTTTAATTTTTGCAAATATATAGATCTACATCAACAAAGCTTCTGGTTCGGCCTTGATTGCTGCCGTTGTAGTGAAGAGATGTACAACGGAGCTTGCTCCAGTCCCTTCCAGATATCTTACGAATCCGGCACCTTCCCAGAAATTTGCTTATGTCCAACCCATCCCAAAAAAGAAATCTAAGACCAACCCTTACATCCTTACAACTTCAGGCCTATAGCTCTGCTGTCTGTTACGGACCACCTTCAATTTCACGGCTTGATTAACGACAGGTAGTATGGTTCCCAGACCTCCGATGCGTAGGGGACCTCAAGGGTGAATTGCCCCTGTGCCCCCTCCCCCCAGGTTTTTTTATGTACGTACTGTGGAGGTTCCATCACAGTACATACTTATAAGCAAATCATATTATCAGAGTTGTTAAAAGATATGAATAAAATAACAGACAGAACATGAATGAAACTCTTGTCCATTTTTGGCTGGAATTGCGACTTTTGTTCGTTGCATCTCTTTCACGCCCTTGCAAATGAAATAGCAACAGCGTTGGTGTGAGGAGCTGGAGGAAGGGCGAGGGTCGGAGCGGAGAGGATCCTCAGGGCAAGCACAGTCACACACACAAATTTGTTGCACACTCGCAGATGTTCGCGCCTGCTTCACAGTATAGTTCGCGCCCTTGACGAGTATGGATGGTGAAATTGCTACTGCTGCTGCAGGGCTACTGTGCCCTTTGGCCATTTATAAGTAAAAGTAAAAAAATTGAAAAGAAGTGAAAAAACACAACCATTCCCGGCACTCGCTATGAGGCAATTGAAACACCAGCGAATGAGGAGCCTAGTCATGTTCGCGCCTTGCGAATCCTTTGTCGCGGGACAAAAAAACCGACAACAAACGGAAACAACGCGCGAACGCGACGTGAAGCCGCGAAGAATACGCGAGTGGGATCCACACTCATGGGTCGCTGGTAGTCTCGCGTGAGTCTGGAGAGGGTATCAGTCGCGGATGTTCTCGCGTCGCGCTTGCTTCACACTATAGTTCGCGCTCTTGATGAGTATGGACGGTGAAATTGCTATTGCTGCTGCAGGGCCACTTTGCGCTTTGGCAATTGATACTAAAACAAAAGAAGTGGAAAAAAACAACCACTCGCGGGATTCGCTATGAGCCAACTGAGCCACCAGCGAATGAGGAGCCTATTTATGTTCGCGCCTTGCGAACATTTTGTCGCGGGACAAAAAACCGACAACAAACGGGAAGAACGCAGGATCCACACTCATGGGTCGAGGCTGGTTCGCAGCTTCGCGCGCGATCCGCGGGTTAGTCTGGAGGGGGCTTTGTAATTAACTGTAAACTAAAATAAACTTCTCTTTGTAAGCCCCCTTCTATATTCACCCACTGCTCCACATACTTATAGTTTGCTTGAAGAATGCGCGAGGTAGCGGAATGAAGTTCTACCCTACTTAGTTCAGTGCAGTTTTAGGGAGTAGCAAATAATATTACTGTTTATAATGAGTGAAAAGGAGAGGAAAAGGCAAAAGGCCATAAGTGCATTTTTCTTTACAAAAAAAGAACAAAAAAACCGGCGATGCAGTTGCAGATAAAGGGAAAGGGATTAAATTTGGTGGTGTGCCATGTACATCCACGCACACGGCTATTACATCAATGCTAACAAATCGATCAACAGCATCAGCCTCTAATAATCGCATGGTGAAGGGAGGAGATATAGGTAGGTATCGCAATTTTTGTGTACTTAAACATTTTTTGTAGCTCTAGGGAGTGACTATGTGCATTCGGGCGACTGCGAATTGCGAACGTCTATTGTATGTGCAGCCACGGTCACACGTAGCGAGTACACGCCGCGAGTGAATTCACGAGCGCGGTCGATGCTTGGTTTTGATTGTGGTTAGATTAGATGTAGCGTACATGCACAGGTGTGACGGTGTGCGTCCTTGAAACAGCATAAGGAGGCTATATTTATAGCATAGAGAGCTGTTTTCGCCACGATTATCTAAATAGTTATTACCTGGCTACGCAGAAGCACAACGAATCATATGTATGCATTTCGAATATCTCGTTTAGGCTATTTAAGTTTCTTATAAGCTATAGTAGTCGGACTATATGTCTAAACGGTTAATTAGTTTATTTTGATTTTCAGGTACACTACTAATCAACCAGCAGACGAAAAAGGCTACCAGTGGTTGAAATATACTTGGCAAACTGCAACAGACTTTAAGCTTCCACTGGTGCGTGAGGGAAAGAAACCGGTCTTTTCAAGCTGGTTAAAAGGACATGAATGGCTAGCATACAGTAAAATTGCTGGTGGCGGATTGTGCAAAGTGTGCATTCTTTCTGGTCGTTGTAATGCAGGTACAAATGACGTGAAGCTGTGAAAATTGGTGTCGGAACCACTGACAAGATATAAAAAGGTCATTGAAACAATCACACACCACTAGAGCACGAATTACTACCAAGCAAGCGTGGTAGCATCTCAACATTTTTTGATGGTAATGGAGGGAAAATAAATGGATGTTATCGTCCAAATGAGATCCCAGGGAATGAAAACAGTTGAAGAGAGTCGTAAGAAACTTATATCCATTATAAAAACTATTATTTTATGTGGAAAGCAAAACATACCGTTAAGAGGTCACAGGGATGATTGTAGTTTAGGATGGGAAAGTTCTTACGGACACGGAGAAGACAACTTCAGAGCGTTGTTGAAGTTCCGAATCGATGCTGGAGATGAGATACTGCATGACTACGTAAAAACGTGTGCTAAGAACGCTTCCTACATTAGCAAATCAACACAAAATGACTTAATTGAATGCTGTGGGGATTTAATCAGAAACAAAATAGGGGACAAAATTAAAAAGACTAAATATTTTACCATTACAGCTGATGAGGCCACATATGTTTCTGTTTGTGGGCAACTAGCCATTTGTATTCGCTATTTCGATGTAGATACAAACGAAATACAAGAAGAGTTTCTAATGTTTGTCGAAATTGTTAAGCTTACTGGTAAAAACATTGCTCACCATATTTTGAAGGCGTTGGAAAACCTTAATCTGGACATTACATTATGCCGGGGTCAAGCATATGATGGAAGAGCCAAGATGAGCGATAAAATAAGAGGTGTTCAGGCTCGCATATTCAGCATTCAACCTTTTGCCCTTTTTACCCACTGTGCAAGCTATCTAACTTAGCTATCAGTACAGCCTGTACCGGACCCAGCATAAGAAATGCCGTAGGGGTAATCTCAAGTGTAGCAACTTTCTTTCGTGACTCAGCTCAACGACTACATCTCCTTAGAGGAGAAATGCAAGCTCATCTGCCAAAGGAAAAACAAAATATATTTAAAAAATGTGTGAGACCAGATGGGTGGAAAGACATGAAGCGGTTTTGACATTTTTTGACCTCTTGTCATCTGCAATATCGTCAGAATTTCTCATAAGCTTGGTAATCCTCTCTGATATTGTAGAAATCATTCTGCGCTTATCCCGATCATTACAAGCGATTGAAATTGATTTACTTTCTGCAGTTGAGCTTGTTAATACGACCACAACAAGTCTGCAGAGACAACGTGAAACTAGCTCAGGCACATTAAAAAAACTTTTTAATCAGCACTCTCATGCTAAAAATCGTTGCAAAAGTTGCTGTCCCCTAAGATCAGCGACGAAGATATAGAGGATGTTTTGCAAGGCGCTGATGTATGTAAATAAGACTTTCCTTGTTTGTTAGCTTTGAAGGGAGAGCTTAAAATGTGACAGCGGATGAGAGAAAATATTCCAAAATCTTCAACAGATGCCTACAAAGCAGCAACGGTGCTGCCAAATATTAGAACTTTTTACTTTACTTTACTAGCACTGCCGAGCTACCTTCCTCCACTTTACGCCGATTAAACCCATATCTTCGCTGCAGGATGACAGTAGAGCGTTTGAATGGACTGGCTTTAATGCATATCCATCAAGAGATTGCAACAAAAATCAACGCTAATAAAGTGCTGGACATCTCTATGCAGGAAACATAAAGAAAACTATCCTTATTAAGCATGTAATTTTTCAATTGTTTTGATACTTTAATAAACCTTTTTGTGAATACTACAAGCTTAGTTCTAGCAGCTAATGATGATTTTTTTGCCCGTCTACCCCTTGTGCCCCTCCCAGAAAAAAATCCTGTATCCGCGCTTGGGGGACCTCCTAGCTTACGTCACGCAATTGTGGAGTAAACTCATCCAGTCTTCTGGCGAGGATCATGTCGTTGCTCTTGATATCACAAAAGCGTTCGATCAGCTGTGGCACGCTGCCCTCTTTTGCAAACTTCCAGAGAAGCTTTGCAGATGGGTGGCTGACTTTATTTCTGGCCGCAAGATATCCTTCGTAATTCATGGGTTCTCCTCTTCATCCCACAACGTCAACGCAGGAGTTCCCCAGGGATCGGTCTTGGCTCTGAGACTGTTTTTCTGTTTACATATCCTGTACGATTCCACAGCTTTAGCACTCTACATGCAGGAATTCAGAGCGTTAAGTCGATTTCTGCTGGTGAGCTGGAAAAAAAATACTAGCGGCTTCCTCTCTGGCGAGAGACCTGGAGGTAATCACTTCTTTTGAACGCAACAGTCTGTCGAAGAGCCGTTCATTTCACTAACACCACATCTCGTCAATATCGGCAGCTGCTGGGAAAAAGCTAGGCTATTTGTTTAGGGCCAAGAAGAACTGTTCTCCGCACGACCTCCTCACTCCATACAAGGCCCAAATAAGTCCTAGCTCCGGTATTGCTTACACGTTTGGGGTACTGCCGCCCCATGCTCGATGCTACCCAGAAAAGGGCTGTCCACTGATCGATGATTATTCTCTAACCGCTAAATCAACGAGCTTTGCTCCTCAGAGCCATGATCCCGCTACGCAATGTGCTTGCCATACAGACCCGCCTTACTTCGGCCTCCCATCCTAACCGTGTCGACATCCAGAACTGGCCGATACTACCACTCCTTTGTCCCGAGGTGTCGAGATTATGGAACCAATCTACTAAGCTTAGGCAGTTCAAAAATCGGATTAACAAATTTATTTGGAATCCTCATAGCAGCCGCGGTGTTTTGGCATTCAGGCTTTTGCCTGCGCGGCTGGTTCGGTGTAAAAAAAAATGATTTTCTCTGGAAAGGATATTCAAGTAGCTCTTCATACTAGGTGTACTCACATTAAATTAAGGCAAAGAAACGAAATTGAATACTTACTAGCAGTAAAGCATATGACCAATTCTGCTAAATTCGGCATTTTATAAAGTGAACATTATGAAATAGTTTCTCCATCATACAGTAACAATGGCAGAATACCTGATGTCGGAAATAGTGAATTCTACTCGGTTTTTTAAATAGCTGCTATTATATCAGTGAGAATATTCATCCAATTAAAAGCTTTGGAAATACAATCAATTTTATATTCCTAGTTTTTTTGAATGTACTAAGCTTTCTCCATAGAATCTCGTCGGAATAAAACGAGATTGTGAAATTACTACCTATAATGTCCTAAGAACTTTAAGATTTAAAATTAATGCAGATAAATTTAAATCTTGAATTAGCTTAGTTAGACTGAAGTTTCGGTTTTCAGTATCCATCAGAATTGGTTTATCTCCACTATTTTCTATTTTTCAATGTTGTTGTTATAATTGTGTTAACAAACATTAGTACATGTTACGAAATCCACGTCATTCATTTCCATCGGCGTGTCTGTTACGATTTTAGTGATCCTTGGACCCTCTATAGAAAATTACCGTTGTACTTTGATGGAATTTTGATTCTAGGCTGCTACCATCGTGAAAGATGATTTAAAATAGGCCCAACATTAACGTGGCTAAATGTGCTAAAGCTAAAAGCCTGCAATTTAAGAACGTTCCCTACCTTTGTTTTGCGAGTGTATGAACATTTCAAAGCACTGTCAAAAATCATTTTATCACTTCACTACTGAGTAAATTTACGTAACTCTATCCTTTTTGGATCTTATGAAATCATATCCCGCCACAAACATATTTTCGACAATCCTTAACCTCTTTAAAGCCGAAAACATTTTTGTAGTGAAAGCTTTTCGAAAAACCAAACAAATCACCTTTCGCCCTTCAAGAGGATGGGTTCAAACATTTCGAAATCAGTCAGAACCAAGGTCAAAACGCATGATTCGAGTTTAAATCTACCTTTCATACGCTTTAGTATAACTCAATAAACATTCAAGATCTTTTGTGTGCTTAAGTAGAAACGATGTTTAAACTAATTCGTAAAGCTGGTAAGTACTGAGTCAATGAACATCCAAAGAACACGGCTCGCAGACTTGTGGTGCCAGTGCATCTAATTGTCACAACTTATCACAACTTTTTAGTTGCTGCTATCAAAACTCATTGCATTATGTTATAAAAATAAGTATAGAGACAGTTCCTATTTGTCCATATTTCAACACGGTTTCTCTTGAAGTTTTCTATCTTCTACTGCAAATTGTTCGAAATTTTATCATCGACAAACAACAACGTTGTAGTCTTTTAGAACTGAAAGGAACGTAATTTGTTCTGAGCCGATTGTAATAACAAGGTTTGGAAGGTTTTTTAAGTAGGCTTCAATTCGGCTCTCAGAAAACATTGAAAACCAAAGCTTTTTATTACCACAATGATTGAAGTAACTGCACACCATCCATTTCTTCTAATCGACTAATTTGGAGATATAAAAAACATATTTTTTTGTTATTATCTTAAACAGAAATCAAAATGTTCTATATGAAAGCATCATTGTTAGGAAATTCCAAAGACCCAATCGTACAATAATTTCTCATTCAGTATATAACGTATTGACACAGACACACAGACACATTATCGACATCTTTTTTTCATAAAACTTTATCGGACAAGAGTCGCGCTTCGGCCCCCTTGCCGCCCCCCACCATCATGCCTTATATCCGTACCATACTTTCCTAGATACCCACGTATTTGGCTAATCGGCTGAGTGGAATGGAAATGTCAGTAGAAATAGGTATAGTTGCAGAGACAATTTCAAGATCTATCAAACTTGCAATAAACTAAATAGATGTCTTATCTGGTTAACGCAAGTAGCATCCTGAAAGTGCATGATCCTGTGTTGCATCGACCAGGTAATTCTTTTGAAGATAACGCAAGACTAATCACATCCTCCATCGGAAACCATAACAGCGACGTTCTTGGAATATTTTCAAGCACTAACAACATCTGATAATAAAGTAAAAATGCTAAAAGCCAGAAACCATTAAGGAGATTAAACAGGAATGGGTTTGTGTATAAGTAACACTGGAATTTCGTGTTTCAACTACCAACATCACTTTCCGTACGTGTCATATCACAAATTTCAAGCATACCAAGCGTATCATGCTATTGTAATGTCTGACTCTATTTATCTTCCCCCTGAAAATGCCGCAGGGTTATTAAACCATCTATATACGAGAATAATATTTATCAAGTTCTCTTTCATGAACTGAATTTCCTTTGTAAGTTACTACACTTCAGTTTCTACACTGCACAATTGATAAAACGATAGTTGTGGCTAGATCAGTACCGTTGTAGAGCTTAGCTTTAAATTTTTTACTTGTTTGGTGTCAACACTTGTAGCAACTGGAACATTGTTTCATGTAGTTCGTCGCAAGCATGTGCACAAACCAGGTAAACATGTACTACAACGATCCATCATTTTCTTAGGCCCCAGAGGCTATAACATATGAAGCTGAATTTTGAACTTATTCATACCAAAAATGAGAGACATAATGTTCTCGAACTGCTGAGAGTTCCAGATTGTAACAACTGTCCAAGTTTTGATTATGCTGCACTTATTTTAGGTCATTATTTTATGAATTTTATAGCTTTTTTCTAAATTACTGTTTTTGAACATAGACCAGTCGTTTGGAGCATAAAAAAGGTTGCCAGGAAAGTTTTGGGGAGGCTTTTAAAGTGATACTTTTGTAGATGATCAATTGCAGTATCGGAATTATCTTGAAACTCAAGATCATTTTTTTGCAGCGGACATTCAGTATGTGATATTCTTCAAAATGCTCAAGAAAAGCTTTATGATACTAAAAATGATTTATTAGACCTATCATTAATAATTACTCAAAGATCCAGTACCTGACGAGTCTTACAGAACTTCTAAAAAATTGGTGTTTTATAGATTTCCAGGTCCTCTATCTGGATTTTCACTTTTCTAAAAAGGTTAGTCTTGCACATTTTATGGAAGACTTTCAAATGATTACCTAAAAAACTGTTTTCCTCGGGAAAGAAAGACTAATAATAGAGATATTGTCAGAACATGGACAAATCGCTTAACAGGTTGCACAGTAAGAAATAGAAAAAAACTAGTGACAGTGATTTTTAAAACTCTCCTAAAACGTTCCAAGTAAAATTCATTCATTAAACCAATGAACCACTTCACATATTTGTGTTATTTAATATACTGTAGAAAAGGTTGCGGCAAAAAACCTTCTCCAAGCTACCCCAACGCTTCTCAGGTAATCCAACCAATGTCTTTGTTTGTATGAAATGGAAAAACTTACTCTGTTTCTTCAATTAAATTGAATTCTCTTTAAATAAATTGTAAAATTATTGTTGGATACTTACTCAGTTATATCCAGTCTTTCTAATGCCATCTTGAGATTCTTGATAGCCAGTCTTTTGTTATCAATGTCTGTCTTTAGCCGGAGCAGCCTATCTTCTGCCTGTTTCTTTTCGACTTCGGTCAACTCTCTTACATTATTCCCATTGGAGCCTGCCCTAATAGCGTTGAGCCTCAAACCGGGTAACTGAAGAAAAATTATACTTCAATCTGATGTATGGATAAAAGCAGGGCAACATAACTAGAAAAAATCAATAAAAGTAATACTAACTGTTATTTGACCTCTGAGACTTTGAATGATATTTTCTTTATCCCTCAGCGCATTTCGCAGATTCTCCAACTCCTTGAGCGCCAACTCCTTGGGAATAGACCTGATGGAAGATCCCAAACTGACCCCCGAGATGCTTCCATTTTTCTTTCTTCTCGGAGTACTCGACAGTGATACTTCTATGCTAGCCATCTGCAACAAAACGTCACTTTTACGAAAAGAAAAGTTCTTTCATAAATTTGACTATGCCACAATGTAGCAGAATGAAGGATATTGATGATGATCGACACGAATCAGTGTGTATTTAACTTATCAAATGAGGTCATCTAGAAAAATGTCTAAAAGGGATTAAAGTATGATAATACATGAACTGGTGCTAAGTCTCTAAGAGAAACGAGCTTGAAAAATATACACAATTCTCTTTTTTCCAAATCGCGCAAGTAAAGGTCCATGAAGAGAGTCAGTTTGAGATATAAATCTCTGAATAATCAGTATTTTGTAACACCTTTGAGGAAGCATTCCCGAAATTTTCCAATAATATCGATTCATACGGATTTTTACATAATTCTTCAAATTTAATGGCTGTTAGATGAAATCACATATGCGGGCTTGAGTGTTCTGTAACGTTCTTTCATATTTATTTCAAGAGATAAATAATTCGTATTGAATCCTAGATCAGTATCATTTTTTTATTGTGCTACTACATTCCTGAAAGTCAACTCCACATATGTAAGTTATTTCCTATTATTTTATGAGTATGCATATGAGGATACATCCGCGAACGTCTTACAAAAAATTCAAAGTTTAGTATGAACATCACACAGCATACGGAGTTTACATCAACAGACGACGGAGAAGTTCTTGCTACGTAACCATTACGAAGAATTTTACTGCCTTGTTCAAACTAAATTTTATCTCACGTTTGCCGGCTATTTGTTCATTGAGATAAGCGCTACGCCATAAAAATCCTTTCAGCCGTAGTTAGTTGAAGTACAGATAAGATGAATGCTGACAAGTACGTGTTGTAAAGGGGGCCATCGGCTTGTCCGGAATTTGGCGGTGAATGTCGTTCGGAAATCTGTTATGGCGGATTTAGCATACTTATATCGTATATATATATATAAGTTATGATGCAGAAAAGGATGCACGTGGAAGAAGAAAATGCTGAGGAAAGCATCCTTACCGAGATGATAAATAGAGGTTCTTGATGCTTTCCAGACCATTCCATTCATTCATTCATTCAACATTACTCGTTTTGTTCGCCGTATTGTACATCTATCCATTATAAAATATCAAGTATTTATATTGTATTGTCTTGTAAAAGTAAAAATAAAGTTTTTTTAAAAACCCGAACGGCCATCTCGGCAACATAACTTATATACAGGACGCTTATATGGAAGACATTCTATGAGGCAGAAAATGTATGTTAAAAGAGTGAAAGGACTTTAATGTACTGAATTTCTTGATTAGACTAAGTAAATGAATCTCTAGTAAGTTCAAACGCTTGACCGGGTTCAGATACGGACTCATTTTCATTTGAAGAGAACCAAAAATAATTCCGTTTCCGATATGCATAGAGCCAAATGTTCCACTAAAGCTTCGAAAATATATATATATTCGAAGTTGAGTCATTTATTTTAACAGTGAGTACATCTGATCAAAAGTAATGTTTTTTTCCTTTACCATTTTTCTGGTAAAATTAAAGTAACAAAGTTATAGCCCTTTGGAAGTTTGAGTACCGCCCTGTCTCAATAATGATATTATGTTCTCGTGTTTGGCAACAACAGATATAATCCGCCTTATCCGTTCATCGCATCGGAAACAAAAAAGCGAAAGAATTTGGAACGATCTTTTTACAATTATTTTCTTCAGTTGTATACAGTCAGTATCAGTCGGTAGTCGGTAACGCGTAAGTGAATAATCGTGTCTGTTGCGAGGCTCAAATCAAAAATGGCACATGTTTACGAAAATGCTGAACTTGTGGACATGGTTCTTATTTACGGGGAGTCTTTACAAAATGCTGCCGCGGCATCACGGATCTATGCGGATCGGTTTCCCAATCGAGTGCAACCAACCCCTCGTGCCTTTGTTAATGTAGTGCAAAGAGCTCGTGAATCAGGTGACTTAAGACCTCACAGAGGAGATCATGCCGGTGCTCCAAGACCACACGATCAAATAGAACTAGAAGAACAAATTTTAGAATTAGTAAGTGATGATCCAACAGTAAGCACCCGACAAATTTCAACTCAATTGGCGATTAGTCAGTATAAAACTTGGAAAACTCTACGTGAAAATCAGTTCTATCCGTTTCACATACAAAAAGTGCAGGCCTTACAACCGGAAGATCATGAACAAAGGGTTGACTTTTGCAATTGGCTTTTAAATAAACATCAAAATGATGACAATTTTTTAAATCAAATTTTAGTGAGTGATGAAGCCCTCTTTACTAGAAACGGAATTATTAATTCACGTAATTCTCACGTTTGGGCTATTGAAAATCCCCATTGGAATAAGGGAAACCAATTTTCAACAGCGATTTGAACCAATCAACCTGTGGGCGGGAATTGTTAATGGAATTTTAGTGGGGCCTTTTGAATTACCAAATCGCTTAACTGGTGAAAATTATTTTGATTTCTTGCAACACAATTTGCCTGGTTTACTGGAAGATGTGCCTTTAAATATTAGACAAAACATGTGGTTTTTACAAGATGGGGCACCACCCCATTATGCAAGAAATGTGCGTGAATTTTTAAATAGACAATTTAATAATCGTTGGATCGGCCGCCAAGGTCTCCGGACTTAAATCCTTTAGACTTTTGTTTGTGGGGTTGGCTAAAAACTCTAGTGTATCAAACACCGGTTAATACACGCGAAGAATTACGTGCTCGAATTGAGGAAATGAGTACAGTGATCAGAAATCAACCAGTGATTTTATTGCGTGCTTGTAAAGAGACATGGCTAAGACGCGCCCAGCTGTGCGTCGAGCAAAACGGAAATCATTTCGAACAGTTTTTGTGACATGCTTTTGGGCGCACAGGTCCGCACTGAAATACTTGTCGGGAGGATACTTTATAAAACAAGGTAACATTTTTTTTTTAATTTTTTTTTATTTTTACACACATATTTTGGTTTATCTTCCTTCTACAATCATTATTTGAAAATTAATGACTCAACTTCAAAGTCACCCTGTATATATATGGGTAGCTTTCAAGAGTCGCTAAGGTACACATACTTGAGGAAGTGCGATGTCTTGGTAAATGATATTTAACAGAAGTCCCCAAAGAAAACGTGGCAAAACCTAAGGGCGAGCTAAGCCACTCTAATAACAGAATACGCTTACAGACATATTCAGTTCCTTGGAGAAGATGTTAGAGAAGATATAGGTAGACTGAGGAATAACAATTACTGTGAAGTAAGAAAGTGTTTTACTATAAAATGCGACATAATTCCTCCAGACGAAGGATCCTTAGAGGTATATTATTGTTACTTCTTATTTCAAGTGTACCGATAAGAATACCTTGGTACCTTTGACATAGTTGTAGTCACTGTTCTTGACGGGTCAAAGACTACCAGTATCCCTTATATATATATATATATATATATATATATATATATACATATATATATACAGGGTTGAAGTTGAGTCATTAATTTTCAGATAATGATTGTAGAAGGAAGATAAACCAAAATATGTGTGTAAAAATAAAAAAAATAAAAAAAAATTTACCTTGTTTGCCGTCCCCTGTGAGGTCTTAAGTCACCTGATTCACGAGCCCGTTGTACTACATTAACAAAGGCACGGGGGGTGATTGCACTCGATTGGGAAACCGATCCGCATAAACGTGTGCCATTTTTTATTTCGTTTGAGCCACGCAACAGACACCACTATTCACTCACGCGTTACTGACTGACACTGACTGTATACAACTGAATAAAATAATTGTAAAAACATCGTTCCAAATTCTTTCGCTTTTTTGTTTCCGATGCGATGAACCGATAAGGCGGACTATATCCGTTGTTGCCAAACACGAGCACATAATATTATTATTGAGACAGGGCTGTACTCAAACTTCCAAAGGGCTATAACTTTGTTACTTCAATTTTACCAGAAAAATGGTAAAGGAAAAACATTTCTTTTGATCAGATCTACTCACTGTTAAAATAAATGACAACTTCGAAGTCACCCTGTATATACCTATCTAAAATCAATAGCCTAGAAACTGAAATTTGTCGTTTTGTTTTGTCTGATTGTTGCTCTGCCGATTAAACAAATTTTATTTGTATGAAAACTGTGATACCGAAACGAATGAAAATTGGCAAAAATATTAAGTAGTGATGTAGCAAGCACACAATATATGGCATTTTGTATTGAACTCTTCTCCTGCTATTTAAGATATTATTGTTGCTCATTTATTTTTTCATTCCACTCAAAAATAACTTCTGTGAAAATGTCGGTGGCAAAGCTTCTCCTATTACGTTAAGAACTCCTCCGGGGACTGGCAATAGAATGTGCAAAAAAAGTAACTGAACTGCAGTATCAACGCCAAAAGCTCGGTTTACTTGTAGCTAAAAAAAATGCGATTTTTGTTTTTTCTCTTATATATATGCACGTAAAAATGTAATCTACCTGCTTTTTCACCTGCCTCGTTGCTGACGGTTATTAAATTACTACCTGGAAATTCATAAAATCCGAACTGCGATTTCCGGAATTTTATCGAATAGCCAGTAAGGGATAAAGACGGATTAAAATGGCAGGTATATTGCATATCTTATGTAAAGTTATAGGAAAGAAAGCAAAAGTTGCGTCAAGATTAGCGCCAGGAAATTAGTAGAGCAGCTACAGAAATATAAGGCAGAATCCATAATGTTTTCGCAGGCTAATCGGATCAATTATTGAGGTGTGAATCTGTTCTCATGAATGCCAGATACCTTATTTCTGCTTCAGCAGCGAATCAATTCAAGACTAATATCCTATGTCACGATGACGTCATTACGTACCATATTGAATGAATAGATTGTATTTTTAATTTTCAGATATATGTCGCTAGTGGCAAAATGTACCGGGGCTAAAAGAGTGAATTTTACAAAAAGGAACTCTTACACAGCTAGGGCCTACGCCGCAGCTATATCCCATTCCAGAGGTCCAGGTTGGCATGTGGAAGCTTCATGGAAAAATAATTTTTCGACAGGGCCCACGACATCCAAGGTCTGTCTAAAAAGGACAAGGGCACTGGAATGAAGTAGACTTATCTGCAAGAAAAGAACAAAAAAGCAATCTTCTGGTGGACCGGACGTGCATTACGGTCCTAATGCAGCTGCCGCGGATATAAACGAGCAAGAGATGTAGAAGAGGAAAGACAAGTTTCTGCAGACTCTAGCCAACCGGGTAGAGTCAAAGAAAAAAATTGCAGAGCTCAAAACAACCACAAGAGGCTAGTATGGAAATGCTTTGTGGAGCAAAGAATATTTGACGGAATCTAATTTCGGTCGCGTAATAAAAAGGAGAGCATCTACTCCCGCCATAGCATAGTAAAAAATTTGTTATATCACGTGGACAGCCTGCAAACAGCAGCGATTATATATGGCAGAGTACACGAAGCAACAGCCCGACATAAGTATGAGCAGCAAGCGGGGATATCCGTTGAAGAGTGTGGACTTTTTGTGAGTCAGGCGTATCCTTTCTTAGCAGCTTCACCGGATGGCCTCGGTGGCAGAGATGGCCTGATAGAAATTAAATGCCTGCCTTCAATTAGGGGATCCCTAATAGATGGTGTGAAGAGAACAGGAAATTTTATGGCATCATGAATAATTTTCTTCGTGTTAGCGGAAAATTGAGTTATTCTCACCACTGTCTTCATTCGAGTTACCAAGTCCCACTTCTCAACTCACTAATCCAGACTCTAGGGTAGTAACCTTGCCGTCAATGCGAGCTACTACGTCCATTTTTATTTTTACTAGTCCTAATCTTTTTATTATTTCATCCGGTCGTATATATATGTATGCTGTGATCATAAAGTAAGATGAAATTGTTTATAAAATGTAAATTCTTTATTTATGCTTCTAAATCGGTTTCATCCCCTTCAGAGTAATCCTCGTCCGATACAACGCACTTTTGCCAACGCTTTTTCCAGTCCTCGATACAGTCGGAATAGTCCTTTTCCGGTATAGCCTTCAATACCTTCTTCGATTCGTTTTTTATCTCCTCAATCGTGTCAAAACGGCGTCCCCGCATTGGCCTTTTGAGTTTGCTGAATAGCCAGAAGTCGCACGGAGCCAAATCAGGCAAATACGGTGGTTGCGGAACGATATGAGTTGAGTTTTTTGCAATGCATTTTAAGTAGTCGTGATAGTCAGATAGCAAAGTTTCATACACATCACCGCGAATTTTGGCACCAATCGAGACTTGATGCGTTTGAGACACAAAACATCCTTCAAAATGGTTTGGGCTGAGCCAGATGATATTCCCACATAATCGACGATTTTCAAGCACCAAATCTTTGATTTGTTGGACGTGGTCCTCGTCGGTAGACGTTGATGGTCGTCCAGAGCGCGTGTCGTCTTCAACGCGTTCTCGGTCCGCTTTGAACGTTGTACCACTTATAACGTTTTTTTGTGCCATAGCTTGATCACCAAAGGCCTCCCGCAACATTTTCAACATGTCCGCACAAGAATATTCGTTCCGCAAACAAAATTTGATGCAAGTTATTTGCTCAACAAAATCACCCATTGTAAAAATCGAAAACTTCACTTTTGGTTGTTTACAAAAACTCATGTAACTCGGAGATAATTAAACCTCTTGACAAACAGACACTTGTCAAATGTTATAGACAGTCTTACCAACCAAGGAAAAAAGAATTTACCTGAGGGTCTAATGCCCGGGAGTTTTAAATGACAATTTCACCTTACTTTTTGATCGCAGTGTCAGGCGTAATAAGCGTTTATGTCCGTTATTGGATTGGACATTTATTTATACATATTTGGTTGACATAAAATTACTTGAGGTAAAAGTATAACAACAAATCGATCTGCCAATATAACCAATTGCTATGCAAATAAATGACCCGATAAGGATGACAAACTCAATAGAAGGGTTTTAATTTCATGGAGCAAGGTATTCTGTTATTTTTAAGTTAGGAGTACTTTTTCAATGTCTCGTAAACTTACATCTGATATCCCTATAGATTTCCTGCCGTACTCTCATATTTGCATCCGGTCTATTCAGGGGCAAGCCATTGCAGGAAATAGATCATACATTTCTCACATAGCATTTACCATAGTTCCTTTGAAACCTTCGGCCGCCTCATAATACAAACAGGGTAATATAAAATCCCAGAAAGTCTACCATGGGGATTGGAATGAACTATGGTTATACAGCGTGGACCACCAAATAGAATAAATTCGTTAACCCGATAATGTTTATGCATTAATAGAGAACCCATAAACAGATCAATGTTAGATCTAGTATTAGATAGAAATTTGTTTAAAAAAATCATTTCTGAATTCAACACCCCAAGGTTGAGAGCTGTACAATCCGAATGTCTAAAGAAATAGAGAAATAGAGAGTATTGCCTTGAAATAATGTTAATGTTCTTGAGAATCTCTCAATGTTGAAAAAGAGGAAACCCAGAAGAACTTGATGGACATCCCTTCAAAAATATATAATAGCAAATCGAGGTTACAATGGTCAGTACTAAAACACAACCCAGATTCTGAAAGGGACAAGGCGGAATAGCTGAACACAATTGTAGTCTCGCAATTAACATTTTTCACTGATCAAATTGCACATGATTTTCAATAATACCTAAACAATATAAGCCGTTTTCAATGGATGGATTTGAGTTTTTGTGGCGCGCACAAGCTTAGTCGCAATCGGTCGAAATTTTGTCTGCCAAATCATTGTTGTTCTTGATACAGTAAAGACAGAAAAAGATACTGCCGGTGTACAATGTTACAGTTATTTATACCAAAATCCGTCACGATAGGTGTACATAATCTGTTGAGGAACGTTTACTGTGTAGGCCACAAATAATCCAAATCTGATGAATAGAATGAGGCAGCAAGAACGCCGAGATACAGTCCAAAGTTGTTTAGCTTTTGAGAGTCAAGCCGGGAGCAAATGAACATTGCATCAATAGCCAAGCATAGCTGTCATTTCATGAGCACAGAGTTTGTATTTGTGGTTGAATAGGACATTGTCTTGCTAAGGTATGAATCCTGTAATAAGGCGTATCGATAAATTAGCTTGTCCAAAGCGTGACAACTGTATTCGAATCAGTTCGAATTAAGAAAAATGTTTCACTACACAAATATTCCCAATATACACAAAGAGTTAATACCGTTTGATGTAGTAAACAAATAAGTTGAGTAATATCAACACTTGTTTCTGGAGACGAATGGATCCCAGATGCGTGGGTTCATGTGCTCCATCCGTCAGTCTCGCCGGGATTTACATTAATTGGCCGCTATTATTTTTTATACTCGAGTGTATTTAATTTCACTGGTCAATAATGATTTGAGAATTCAACTAACTAAAGCTAATTTCTAGGATTAATTTTATTTTATTTTAGTTTTTACTGGAAACCATTTGGCTGGATGGTACTACAAAATAACCTTTTTTTGCTTGTCCTCTAGGACTTCTTTAAATTGTTTTTATTTCTTTTATTCAATAACTGTTTGTGAATCTGGTGAGTTAGTATCTTCTAGAGCGTTAGAGACCCAACATTGGTTACTTGTTATCTCTTTTCCTAGTGCTTGGAACTAGGTGGCGTCCAAACCACAACCATGTGCATCCAAAATACAAAGTACAAAGAAACACTCATAGAGGCCTCATTAACTACCGACTGAGGACAGTTACATTCTTTCAAAAAAATTATAACTATACGGGCACGCGGGATAACAATATGTTTAATGCTATTAAGCGGTCACAGTGCACGCGCCTGTTCAATAGTTCACTCGATTAACTATTGAACATGACTAATATTTACGGTCAACATTAACAGGAGGTTGCTTAAATCTTAGAGGAGCATCCCGATGAGCAGATTCCTCCGTAGTGAGTGCGTCTATGCGACGGTAGCCGTACTTCTTTATTTAGCAAGCCTTGATCATGTATATTTGATAAATTTTGGATTGTTTGTTCTATGCTGAAATTTCATACAATCTTGATGTTTGCTGTTTGTATATACTAATTTAATACTTTTCATAATTATACAGTGTTTTATTTTGACCCGTTTTATTGCCTTTTTAAGGGTTGTAGGTTGATTCCAGCAAAATTCATGTTCAGACCGTATATTTCTTTCACGGAACATCGAGTAGTTTGATCCGAACAAGAACTAATAGTGCCCTGCCAAACGATTTCCCTAATTCTGTGTATTTATAACCTACGAAACGCTAATTTTAGTACATGACTTTGGGGTGCGATTTTCTTTTGGTTTTCACCAATCATGGAAGGTTAGGCGATAAGTTGTAATAAAATGAAAAAACACAGCAGTACAGTTCAAATACACAAGAAATGCAATCATCTTCACTTTATAATTGGAAATTTTTGATTTCAAATGTAAACCACAAAACAATGATGCAAAATCTTTCCTGCAACCCTTAATGCGACAGCAACCTGACTTGCAACTGGGCATACCTGAAACTTTTTATACCATGAATGTTCTATTTCTTATTCAAAACATATAATACAAGGTGGTCTCCGGGAGCGGGAAGTTTAGATAATGTTGTTATTCCGTAACTATGCACAGATAGCTATGGATTGGTTTTTGGAATTATCTGTCACTGTATACCATTTAGTAATCATGCTCGTGCTATAAAGGAATGGGTTCGTAAATTTGAACACACAGGTTTCGCTGTCAATGTCAAACATAAAAGGCCAAAGAAAAGTATACGAATGCCTGAAAACATCGATCGTGTACGAAGATCTGTGGAGCACAGTCCAAAACGTTCAACCCGAAAACGAAAACGTTAAGGAGACATCTTACTTCGAATTTTGCCTAAAGATCTCAATCTTGATCCATACAAAGTTGAAATTGTTCAAGCACTGAAACCAACAGACATACTGGATCGTTTACGTTTTGCTTGAGAATGAAATCGATGTACACAATTTGTGGATGTCTGACTAGGCGCACTTCCATTTATCCGGCTATACCAACAAACAAAATTGTCCTTATTGGACTTCAGAAAATCCTCAGGAGCTCCACGAACAAC